TATATAAATGAAACTATGAAACAACATAATATCAAAGAAACACGCTTGGTATAACCAGCAAACCGGTTGGTGTTTGACCCATATTTCGAGTGTTATGAATGATCTTCCTATGGACAAAGTCATAGTCGCCATAGTTCCGGAACGGATGATTGGGAATTCCGGAATTCCATATGGCACAGACGGTCTGGTAGTTGTTGTTGTTTGGGCAAACACGGGTGTCCTCTTGCGATCTGAAAGTGCTTCAGGAAAGTCCGCACTCTGCAGGAGGTTCTCTTCAAAATTGAGAAGTTCAAACCAGCCATGTTTGTTAATCAAAGGGTTCATGTACAATCACTAGTAGAATCATGTACAAACAACATGTTCTGGGCATTCTTACTTTTCAACATGATCCATCTTTGGTTGATGCTTGTGGGGTCAAATGTTTGCTGGTACCTTTCCCAAGTGGCCTTCTCCAGCCATTCTGTCTCCCTCAACGTAAAGCCCTGGGGTTGAAAGAGCCGACGATCGTGGAACGCCACGGCCGGTCAGATGTTCTGAGGAATATGGACGACTTCAATTCTTTTTGGCCTCTTGGCTTCAGACTTGGTAGCAGGTAACCCTCAGTTATCAAGTAGCCAACCCGGAGGGCCTCTCGTGCAACTACCAGACCTCCAGAGAGATGAAGAGATCGAAGCACTTCACGACCATATCTCCTGACCTTGGTCTCTGCCTGTGCGCTTCAAGAAACCCAACTGGTTGGTGATTTCAAATCGATATATTTTACTTTCAACCAATGCGACGATCATTCTCAATCCCCAACCTTCAAGCACCAGGGTCACCAGCCCTCCGCCAGGATGATAAGTTGATGTTCGACCCCTTGTCTTTCAATGACTTTCCGGCCATCATGGCCAGTCCGACCAAGGAGGTGCCAACAAAAAGCCCCAGCGAATCGGTGAAACACTTGGATCGAAAGTGGAAGCAGGAGATAAGAAACCTATCAAGCAGATTCAAGCAGTACATGGCAGAAGAATAGCAATACATATCTATATATATACATATTCACACACACACATATATATATATATATCTATATATATATATATAGGTATAAATATATATATATATATATACATACATATATATAATTATAACAGTGAGCAGAAACTCGAATCATTTGAAGCTTAACTTTTTCGAATGGGGTCCAATTGGGTTTCCCATCTGGCAGGTGCTGGTGAGAGTAGAGGTGGCGCCACCCATTCCTGAGTGATGCCTGTTGGCTTGCCCCCAAAAAAAGGCACACCACAGGGCACGGCCACAGATTGGTATAATTCCGTAACGAATCAAAAAAAAGGTGGCAACTGATACAGCCGGTAGTGGATATGTCGTTTTGCTGAGATGCTATGATTTTGCTGCATCAATGTATTGGATTCTGCTGAGAACTTCTCAAGCCAAATGGATCCAGGGCCCTCCTGGTTCAGGGTTTGCGCCCCCAAAAAATCAACGGCCCAATTCAGGCCATGCGAATTCGATTTCGATCATGGAAATGTGTGGAACAAGTTGCCATGCCATGGATTCATTGGCATCGCGGCATCCCCAACCTTGCACTGAGCTCGTTTCCGACATTTCTGTGATTCAGCACTAGTTGACGTCAGGTCCGAAAAGGGATCCCCCGCCAAGAAAAAAGGAAGGTCCTCCCCACGCGACGTGCAACCATGCTATGAAGGCTGAATCCACCGCTATCCACAGCTCCGGGGATCCCTTTTGGTCGTCTTTCAATCCGTGCAGTGAAAAAAGGCAAGGCGGCAAGTCGGCTGGGTCGCAAGTGGTGCAAAAAAGTACCCGAAAGCACTACAGTCACTACATAGCTCACCCTTGAAGAAGTCATAACCAAAACAGACCTATCGATCCAGACACCAATACCAGCAGTACCAGCAGTACCGCTCACAACTCCTGGATGTAGTGTGGTGTAGTGCAGTTGTATTTGTAGTTGGTAGTTGTAGTGGGGTTGATGTTGTTGAAGTTGTAATGTTGTAGTTGTGGATGTAGTTGTAGTTGTATGTGTAGTGTAGTTGAAGCTGTAATTGTCTTAATTGTAGTAATTATAATAGTTGCAATAGTTGTAGGAGTTGTGATTGTAGTTGTAACTGTAGTTGTAGTGTAGTTGTTGTCGTAGTTGTAGTTGTAGTTGTAGTTGTAGTGTAGAGTCGTGGTAACTGTTGTTGTAGTAGTGTAGTTGAAGTTGCAGTTGCAGTTGAAGTGTAGTTGTAGTGTAGCTGAAGTTGTAGTTGTAGCTGTAGTTGCAGTTGCAGTGTTGTAGTAGTTGTTGTTGCAGTTGTAGTTGTAGTTGCAGTTGTGGTTGTAGTGGCATTTGTACCCGCAGTTGTAGTTGTAGTAATTGTAGTTGAGGTTGTAGTTGAAGTTGTAGTTGTAGTTGAAGTTGTAGTTGCAGTATGGTGTAGTATGGTGTAGTGTATTTGCAGTTGTCTATCTGTATATCTGTTTCTCTATTTGTCTTTCTGTTTATCTATCTGTCTATCTGTCTATCTGTCTATATGCCTTTTAGGCATGACTTAGGCGTGGCTTTTCGAAACAGCGGTGACAATGGGGGAAGCCCCGTAGGCATGACTTAGGCGTGACTTTCTCTTTTGCCTGTATCTATCTATCTATCGATCTATCCATCTATCTACATCGATCTACCTATCTATCTATCTATCTATCTACCTATCTGCAAGCTTGAAAACGAAGCTATACTGCGAGATTTCCACAATGTTTCAACTTGACAACATCAAAAACGAAGCAATTCTGCGAGACTTCCTCAACTTTTGAACTTGACAACGTCAAAAACGAAGCTATTCTGCGAGACTTCCTCGATTTTTCAAGTTGGTAACATCAAAAACGAAGCAATTCTGCGAGACTTCCTTCAAAAATGGAAACTTGATTGCAGAGCTGACGGCCTCGTACCAATGGGTTTTGCGATTTTTCCACTCCATCTATCTAAAGTGCCACGCCTGCCACGCAAAAGTGATGCCAGGTCATACGAAGTGCCTGTCACGCAAAATCATCTTTGCAAACCTGAAGATCTGACGCTCCAAAATGCAACCCCTCTCAAGAAATCAGCGCCCTGATCTCCTAACACATCTAATTCATGTGTCTCTTGTACTGCGCTTGCCACGCGACATGCATCTTTGCAGATCCTCTTCAAATGTCCCACGCTTGCCAACGTTTTGAAACTGCTACAAAACCTTGACGTTTTTGCTCACTTTTGCACAATCCCAAGCGCCTGCCATGCAAAACGGCATCTAAACGTCCAAAAAGTGCTCCGTACCCCTCAGTTTTTTGATTGTTTTTTGCACTTTTGACTTCGAAATGTGCTTCGCGCCACAACGGCGTGCACTTTTTCGACGTCTCAACTTGCAAAAAAGTGGTCCAAGACCGTCAGTTTTTTACACTTTTCACTTCCACATGTGCTGCGCGCCACAACGGTGTGCACTTTTTCGACATCAACTTCTAAAAGTGCGAAGCTGAGGTGTTTTGTACATTTTGACTTCGAAATGTGCTTCGCGCCACAACGTCGTGCACTTTTTCGACATCACAACTTCCAAAAGTGGTCCGACGTTGGTGTGCTTTGTACATTTTGAGTTGGAAATGTGCTTCGCACCACAACCACGTGCAACTTTTCATCTCTCATCTGGCCAGATGGCTCTGCACCCGCCGCTTTAGTGAGCCTACTTTTCGACCCTCCGGAGCCACACATCATGGGAAAAAGACAGTGTTGCGCGACTTTCCTACCTTTTCGCGCACCTGGATCTTCTTTCTTCTGAGACTTTCTCTTCTCTGATCTTCTCTCTTCTGCTCTTTTCTCTTCTACTCTTCTCTTTTCTGCTCTTCTCTTCTCTCTGCCTCTTCCCATCTCTGCTTTTCATCTGTCCATATTGTCGGAAGTTTGACTTCTAAACTTCCTTCATCTTCCTTCGCTCCCCAGAAAACTCGCATGGAAGAAACTCAAAAAATCCGAATCCCATCGCCAATGGATGTGCTGGCTCTGGGTCTGTCAGAGTTTGGACGGAGTTGGTTTGACGCTTTCCAGAAGCTACATCCACATCCACTTACAATCTTTTTACGTTTTTTGTTCCTGACATATTTCAGGAACTCACATCTTTCAAATTGCGTTGCCTATCCATATGCTACAAATCGATGAAATTGTTTTCCAAGGAATAGGGAACATGATGATCAACCAGTTTTTTCGCGGGTAACCTATTCTGAGACAAACCCGTTTAGGAACTGCTTTATGCTGCTATAACATGAAAACATGACCCAAATTTCAGTTTTATGAGGTTTCCTGCTGTAGCTCACTAAAGTGCGATTAATTCTTCCACAAAAGCCAGGTCTGCAGCTACAATTCCTTCCTTTGCGTCGGCGCAATGGCTCGGACGTTTTGCGGTCCGCATGGGTTGCCAGATCGATGGGATATACCCTCCGGTGTCATTTAAAGGTGGCTAGCTGGGAAATACCCATAAAATATCTATATAGGTTTGAATGGGAAATCTCATCTATAGAGTCTATAGATTCATTTTCCGTTCCATTGGATGGTAGATGGTAATGACAGGAGAAAGAACAGGATCCAGTCTTTTTCAATCACCAGCTACATATCCACCCCTCTTGGGGCCAGACCAGACGGCAAGAAACTTAAGTTAAATGGGACGACTGGGAATCAAGACGGGGGTCATGTGATTTGGGGATCATTGGTTCCCACAGGATCCTCACATTCCAGGGCCTGATCTTCTCAGACTTGGCAATTGGATGAAGGGAAAATGTGCAGAAAGAACTCCTGGGTTGGAAAAAACATTATTTCCTGTAAGATTTTCCCCTTCAACATCTTGAATCCATTGAAATTTAGGCCGATCTGCCAGATATTGGGACTTTGCCATGATGTTCCGCAAGGCTCAAGACTCAAGAGGGACGGTTGTTGAAAACTCATCGATTTTTCTCGACTGGCTGGCAAAGCCACCTGCCATGCTGCGATGGGGCCGATGTTTCCACGCCTGTGCCTTTCGCTGATCGCCTCCGTCTCGGCAGCGATTTGGCATTGGGCGGAGAAGCAAGGGCTGGGACTCCGTGATTGGACGGACGTGGAAGTTTCACCCGATGGTTCTGTGATTAGCGCCGTCGCAACATATGGAGCCCTTGTCGTGTCCTTTGATGGTGGTGAGACTTGGTATTATGGCGACAGTTCCGCAGATTACAAGGCTGAAACTTGGATTCGTTGAAGGTTGGCTTTTACTTGCCTATTGATTTTATCACAATTATACCCAGCATTTTGGAGAATCTCAGGCATCTTCAGTCGTGATTTCTGCACATTTTTTGGAAGGACCGCGGTTGGATTGGCAGTCCTTAAGGTAAGAATCACCCCGGATGGGTCCAAAATCTTCACAGTGGCTCCTTATACCGATGGCGTATGGATCTGGACGCACCGTTTCACAATCGGCAACAGCGTCTTTTGGACGCTCGTGTTTGGCCCAAACTGGGGACTGGGACTACCTGAAGACGATTGTTGGTAAACATTTGACAAACATTTGACAGGAATACAGAGAAACTAAAGATTTTAGATCCCAGGTTTTGGTTTGAACATGGACCACAAACGGGAAGCATGATTCATTTGCTGCATCATAAATTCTGAAGGGGGATCTACTGTATATATTCCTAGACAAGAATGGGGGATACAAAAAGATATAGAAGTTTATTCAGATCTGGTACGGGATTTTCACCCACATCTGGTTCTTGTTTGTGCTTCATTACATTCAAGACGATGGGCCGTTGATTTTGAAATAGGTTGACATATTTTGACCCATAGTCCACGCTTGTTTGCTCAAGGAATGTTGACAAGAAATACGTCACTTCAGATGCGTGGTATGATGTGGCAACGACGCCTGATGGCGTCATTATCGCTGCCGTGGTTAACCCTGGCAACATTTGGATCAGCAGGGTGGCTCGGGGAGGATCTCGTGTGGGGATGATGGGATGAGATCCGGGCAAACCAAATGCTGGTTTCTTTGTGAGTTGATATGTTTTGATATAAATATAATATAACATTTAAATTTCCATTATATATGTATAATATATATGTTACAATTTACATAGGGTACAATCGAATATAATATATATATATATATATACCACAGTTGCAAACTCGGAGGTGCTTCGGTCAGGGGCGTTCAAACATCGTTAGCCACTGCTAGGAGGATTATCCGGGTGTGGACAAAATTTCGATATCCCAAACCCATCTGGGCCGTTGAAAGTTAATAACCCCCCGGTCATTAGTTGTAAGTTGGCCCGAGTGTACTATTTTAAGCATGACCCCCCCCAATTCGTAATAGTCAGGGCTCAATAATTTGGGGTTGATATTTTGCTATTTCACAACGGCTTCAAAACCGCCTCGCCATGACATGACTACAGACAATGCGTTCTCGATTTAACAATATTTTCAATTCGGCACTTCAATCTTCCGACCCCCTATTTCCATCTACATCATGGAACCTCAGCTTTTGATAGTTTTTGGAGATCCACATATATGTTTTCCGGATCACCCACCTCGGAGAAACGAGGTCCCATAACCACTAAGGATAGTGGCAGCACTTGGCAGGCAGATATTAGTGTTGGCTCCACCCAGGTGTGGAAACACAAAACACAAATTGGATGTTGCGGAGTTTGGCAGTTGTTCTAGGTACATCAATTCAGAATCAATTCATGAAATGTGGGTAAAACAATGCCATAAACCACCCATGACTGGCACAGAATTGGGAATGGTTGGAATCTCACCTATAAACATGGTGATGACTGGGGGATGGTTTATGATTGTTTTACCAACATTAAATGCCAAGTCAACCATTCAATTCTGCTGTGCACAAGTTTCACGAATTTTGATCCAAACTATCCAGTGCTCAGAGTAGGCTTACCTGGCGTTTGGAACCGAAGCATTTCACATAAAGATAAAGATCATATAGAGGATTGTCACCAAACAGGGCATCCGCCAAGATTCCAGCACACCAGGACCCAAACCACCAGGTCGTAGACATTTGGTTTTTTGTTCAGACTTTTAATGTCATTTTTTTTCCTCTAAGCCTGAGATTAATAGACTGAGGCTCTGGCCCTCAATTTTGAAGGGGCCCTCAGTGCAGCCGCATCTATTCATAAAGCCCCATCCAAAGAAGACCGCCATTTCGGCCTGGTGTTTTCTTTAACCATGGATGTAGGGGGATTTACACATATTTGGGACCATAGAATGGGGGGTGTTTACCCCTGAAAACAAGCAATATTTAGTGGAAACTTCTCTCCGGAGCCTTAGCAGGGCCTATGTTAAATTACGGGAGGGTATCCAACACATTCGCAGGGCCCGATCCCAGAGGGGTGCAACTTATGTCCCAAAAGTGTTTGACATTCAGAACGCCTATAAGTATTCGTGCCGCGACTTTTCCCCGGGCTGTTGGTTGTCATGTGTGAACTCAGCTTGCAGGAGTGGTCAGGCATTGCCATGTCCGATGATGGATCCAAGATGTTGGCAGCAGCCTACAGAGCCAAGATTTGGATCAGTGGAGCCGCTGGGGCGATCGCTTTCGATGTTTTTCTTCAACTCCCCAAATTTAAGGGATCATGATGATCCAAATAATCACAATATTATGTGTGTGTGTTTTGCTGTTGTTACCACCATCTGAGGTATGGCTTGCTGAAGAACGATACTTCGCATGAAGCATGAAATCACGTGAATGGATATAAGTGTTTATTGACATATTGGATGTTTCTTGCCATTTGGGTGAATTATGGCTCAGCAAAGATAGACATATAGACATGCAGATTATGCAGGTTCATTATATTCATGCAATATGGATGTATTTAGGACAGCAGCCTCACCAAGTGCAGTTTTTCTGGATTGATAGCACTAGATTTGCCAATAAACAGATTGTTGTTGCCTAGGGACAAACGAAATCAGATAATTCAATTAGATTATCGTTTGTAGGGGTAATTCTCCCAAAATTGGACTATGCCAGCTTGGTGACTTACTGTGATCTACCCTGAGCGAAGCACAAGCACACAAATGTCAAAACTGCGATGTTTTTTTCAAGATTTTCTGGTTAGTGGTTTGGAAAAAAAAGTAATTTTCCATATATTGGGAATAATAATCCCAACTGACTAATATTTTTCAGAGGGGTTCAAACCACCAACCAGTTTTCCATTTTGGGAGCAGCTCCAGGATTCTGGGGACATTTGGGAAGAGGTCGCCAGTAGCCCCAGCGATGTATGGTTCGATGTGGCCGTCTCCTCAGATGGATCAAAGATGATTGCTGGAGGTCCGAGCCTTTTCATCAGCTCGGATGCTTTGCGATGATTGAAGCTGAGGATTCAGCCCATTTTCGCACTGAAACTGAGGATTCGGACCGTGGAATTTTCCCTTTTATGGTTGTCCTGTTGGTTAATCCAAGGTTCAGAAGGTGAGTCCATTCATGTCCATTCTAAGGATGGTGGCACCACTTGGGCGCAGGCCTCCACAGTGGGAACGCGCCGTTTCTTTCAATGGCATGGCGTGGCCATGTCTTCAGATGGTTCCAAGATGGCCGCCTGTGGCTACGGTCATCCAGAAGGTTCCATTTGGACCAGCATGGATGCTGGTGTTACCTGGCTACAGGAGGCGACCTTTGACACCGACGCATACTTCTATTCAGGTTACGATGCCTGGTTGGAGATTTACGTCACCAAAAAAAACATTCTAAGGGTTTGGGCGGGTCCCGTCGCCCAAGAAGAAGTCCCCGTGCTGTGGGATATCGTGTGATTTTCCCAGGGTCATGGCCTTAGATTTGCTGAATGTGATTTCGTTGGGTATCCCGGTATCCCAGAATATTGGGAGATCTATTGGAAATATCCTTTTTAAAGACGCCGATCAGACAATTCATGAGAAGCAAATCTGAGGCCCAAAATGTAGGGGAGAGAGATAACAGCACCATGGAGCATATGGCATATGGAATACCCTTGGAACTGGTTCAAGAGATATTACTTTACTTCGGGCGATCCCCACCGTGACGTTATTCTATCATAGTTTCTGACATCTCATCTGGAAGTATATATGGTATATATTTTATGACATTCTATTCTAGCCTTCTGACATTCTATTCTGACATTCTTTTCTGGGATTCTATCTGGCACCTATTCTGACATCCTATTTGGCATCCTTTCTGGCATCTATTCTGACATTTTCTCTGGCATTCTATCTTGCATTTTTTCTGATAATCTATTTGGTATCTATTCTGACACTCTATCCGGCATCTCTTCTGGTATTTTATCTGGCATTCTCTCTGACAGTCTATTCTGGCATTCTCCATGGCATCTATTCTGACATTCTGTTCTACCATTCTTTCTGGCATTCTTTCTGGCATATACTCTGACATCCTACCTGACATTCTTTCTGGCATATGTAACTGGCATATCTTCTGACATTCTTTGTATTCTTTCTGGCATTCTATCTGATATATCTTAAAAGATGCTTTGTGGTTGAACGTCCGGCAAGAAATACTCTGATCCGGAGCTTACGGTGGAGGCCCGGCGGGGATCACTCTGATCCAGGGGTTGCCGTTCGGGTCCGGTGGGGAACACTGCGATCTAGAGCGTGCAGTTGGAGGAGGAGGCGGGCCAGCTGACATAAAATCTAACAACCCTCACCTGACAGGTGGGGAAAACAGGAAATCCGTGTGATACACAGATCATCACAGATGCAAGGACATTAACTCTGGGATGATCACCAAAATTTCTATGTCTTCGGATGGGTCTCAGATGGTGGCCGTGTCCTCTTCACCTGGCTATATCATGATACGTGAACCGGGGACGAGCACCACCATCACCACGATGACGAATACGACCACAGCAAGCACCAGGACAGCAGTGATAAGCGTTGATGAACTCGGTACTGCCAGGTGGTATGACCCCCATAGTTATCAGCTGAAAACTAGAGTAACTCATAATAAGTTAGATGGAGATAGATGGGGTATGATGGGGTAATGAATCAACTTATATGACCAACGGGCACTGCCTTGTGGAAAACGTTTGGTCAGATACTGATACCCTCTTGAAAGCCGAGATTGCCATGAACAACGCGCATTTTTGAATAGGTAAATCGTGGTAAATCATTTGCACATGGGCCACTTTCATCCATGGCCCACAGCAATGTTAGATTAATGTGGTAAATCAACTATCCCGGATCCAATTGGGGATTTATGATTCGGCATACCCCTCGCAATACAACGATGTAACATTGCCTTTATCGTACATGGTTGGTGAATAGGATGCTGTATAAAGTTGGGTTTACCATGTTTCACAATGGCTTAGCAAAGGGTATATATCCGGTCGACTTCTGGTCCCAAGATCTAAACCACCGCAGGACGACCAGCCTCTCAACGTTCACCACCAGCACCGGCACAGAGACCACTGCAACAGCGACCAGCAGTACAGCCACGGTGGTCACCCGGACGAGCACCACAGGAAGCACCACCGGAAGCACCACCCTCGACGAGGAAACTTCTGCAGGGTCAGCTGTTTCCGCCTTGGGCCTTGTGACTTTGCGGTTCTATCCTTGGATTTGCTGATGATCTACGATGATTTGGGGCCAGACCCCCGGAATCCACCATTCAGTAGGGGCAATCTACTGGAAATATATTAGTATTTACTGTATCACTGTTTGCTTGGTTTGGCCTTTTATGTGAGCAAATGCAAGCATTTTGTGCTGACATCATGCCAGTTGTTCTGACATGATTGATACCAGAACCCGCTAGGCTCCTGGACAGGAGCCTGCACCTTGCGTAGCCTGCGTGCCATGCCTGAGGCATGGCCAGTAATGTGTTAGTCACTTACCCGAGGCTCAAAACAAAGCGGCGCCCGCTGCGATCCTGGGCGACTTGTGGAAGATTTGGGGTTAGCCGAAGGCCGCCGTATTTGGTTTCGGCGGTCCAATTGGTGAAATGTTGTCACGAAGTTCCCTATATATATATCTCTCTCTCTATAGTGTTTATTGTTTGTTTTTGGGGACATTTCTTCGACACTTCTTATGGCATGTGCCGAACATGAGAGGCCATATGGTCTCAAAATGTCTGAATTGGCCAGTGCCCAACCATTTCCGCGATTTCCTGAACTTTGGATGATTTTGTCATAACCTTGATTTCCTGGTTGGCTACACGGAGCAGCTTCTTATTTTCACTGGGGTGGTTGAAGAGAAACATGTCCCTCTGAACATGTTCATCATTTGAAGATATGGTTGGATTAATGCAGCAATTTCTTCGCTTTTCGGTCAAGGGTTTGGCCATCTAAATCCAAATCGTTATATGCAAATGCCGTACATGCACTAGATTTCAGTCTTCAACCAGGGGCCTGTGGGTCGATTTTATGTAACATTACGGGGGATGAAAATTACCTAGACTGATGACTGCCCAAATAATTTCAAAGAATGGGTAAGTTTTGCGTAAAATAATGGTGTAAAAAACTACCATGTGTACGGGTACAAACGGAGGGTCTAGGTATAACAATATTAATATTTTATGTGCACTTTGGTTTTTTGGATGTTATATTTTTTTTTGGTGAAGTCGTCCATCAGTAGTGTTTGGCAGTGCCCCACGCATCCCGTCCGTCTCGGTTTTGTAGCTTCAGAGTGTGGCAGGCCATCCCTTTTTCGAGGTAAGATGTACCATGTCCAAGGTGAAGATCAAACCCATGGAAGGTGGTGGCTAAGACATCCAAGATCATCGACCAGCAGCATCACTTTGCATGATCATCCGGAGATGTGTGTTTGAATGATTTTGAATACATGGCGATCCTTTTTTGTTGTAATTCCGAAGGAATATATGATAATATATGACTAAACCGGACGCACAGCAAGTACAGATTGCGACAGGCAAAACTCCCAACTTTCATCCAAATTTGATTCATAAATCCGGAAACATAATCATGATAATCACAAATCAAGCAACGTCATCATCAAATCGTGATCTTGGAAGAATTCACAGCCAATCAATCTGTTCATACCGCGATGTGGAACTGGTGGTTTTTGCTGTGCAGCTGGCTGACCGGAACTGGCGCCAGCGACAGCGCTCCCTTCATCATTACGGATCACCCGGCCCGAAGGAAGGCAGGACGACAATGGCAACTCCTAAGCCCCAGAGTTTCATTAGGGAAACAATGTGGGGATTATGATTATTCCAAATATAGGGGGTCGGTCAATGGGATTAACCCATTTATACGGGGATGAATGGGGTATACAACCAACAAGAATGGGGTTACATGGGAGGATTGTGGTATTATAAACGCTATTCACTCCTTCTCATTTTGTCAGACTGTACCGAAATACGATAAACTGGGTGGGGTTCACCCTTCAATCTTGACCTCTTGATGCCCATAATATCTTATAATTATAATCTCGAAATAATGATCGAATTGGTGGTTTGTTGCTATGTTGCTGGATTTGTTTTTGGAGCCCAACCCAAATACTTTCGGTGATTGCAAGAACCCGCGGTGCCGTTCTAAACCCAACTGGTACCTTTTGGTAATTAAAACATTGCAAGGGAAAAGACAGGCCTCAAAAAGTGAGCTGGATGCTTAACCCCTCGTACCAGTAGGTTGCAAGGTAAGATGAAAACCATACCCTTAATCTCGGATGTATAAAGATGTACTCCAATACTACCAATCCCTTGTCATTAGTCAGTCATGGTGACCAGTTTTTTGGATGACAACCCAGCCATGGTATTTCCGCTCCAATTTTTGATCCAGTTCCAGTTGCCTGCCCCAACCTCCCCAGTGCCATAGGTCGAGGAGCGCTCCCAACTAGGTCCACTGGGTCAGCCCAAGGGGCCCAGCGCCACACTCTCGCCGGGCCAGAGTCGGTCGGCCACTTGGGCCTTCAGGTCTGACGAAGATAAGGCGCCTACGTGGACCTTGTCAGAGAAGGGGATTCCATGTCATCCGTTGCAACAGGAAGGGAAGTGTCTCGGTGTGATGGAGTTAAGACATGTCGAATCAAAGCTCGAAACTCGGAACATATGATTGATTTTCAAGATGAATGGGGCGATGTTTCTATTGCCATTGTTCTTGTTGTCTTGAGCCTGTTTGTTTTGGAATGATTCAGTTGATGACAGGATGATCTGGCTTGCATCAATTTCTGTTTTGGTTGTTAGCTCACCCAAAGTTCGCGTTAGACCCTGAAATCCCCCTCACATCTTTCAGAAGAAAGAGATTCAGCTGATTCAGCCCCAAAATCATTAAAAATCACAGCTGTTTCACACCAAAATGTCCCAGCAAATTCGACCTAAGGACCTACCACGGCTGCCATCCGGATGGTTGGTGCTGTTTGGACATCACCTGCTCCAAGACAGACCACTGCGACATGGCGACCAAGGACCAGGCAACGCCCGGACCGCCCCTGCGGCTCCCGAGGGATCCGGTGACCACGCCCTGTGAGCTGGATGCCGGAGGCGAAACATTCCACTGGGATCCCGAGGAGGACTTGAACCTCATGCGCCTTGGAGAAATGGGCAACACGATCATCAAACCTTTAGACTGTAGATGTTTTGGGGCGATCTATTTTTGAAGTCAAAGATGGAAAAAAACACATCAACATACACCAACCATTTGCAGATGCTTTTCAAAGAAACTGGCTGAATGGGGATATGTACAATGATCAATAGTTGTTGTACACTTGGGGGATAGTCCTGCCCCCACAGATGACCATCAGCTGGTTGGAAGCCTTGTGAAAAGGATGCGGCTAGTCATCCATCATGAAGTCTGCTTGGCTCAGGGTCATCCTGGGTTGCTCTTCCAAAAGAGCGCGAAAATCAGCCAAGGGAGGAGTTTGGCTTGCTTGTGTTCCAGGGACTGCCAAGGTCATTACTTGGTGGCTCACCCCAGAATATAAGGGTGTTACAATAGCTGGACCAAGCGTCTACTTTCTCATAACTGGTGTTATAACCCACTTACGATTCCCGGGAGCCACCAAGTAGCGGTCTCTTCTGATCAATCCCTGAGGTTCGTGCTGCTTCAAGAAGACGTTGAAGGGTTGCAGGAGCCAGATCCGCATGGTCATGGTCCCTCTTGGGATTCAGCAGCATGTGGCAATCAACTATGCTGCGGCAAACCTGCCACTAACATCCCATACCCATACCACCAAAAATTGTAAACATCGATAAATTGGCAATTTTTTCTGGTGGATTCGTAACATTATTAATATGTTCACGAATACGCATTGCAGGAGGAAGACCTGGAAAGCCTGGTGAAACTTAGCAGCTCCCAGCCTCTCAGGTGGGGCTAGCAGTGGAAGTGGCTTTCCTGGACTGTGCGGGATGTGTTTTCAGTTGCATACAGTTGATGTATACACCCTATACATCCGGGTGGTATACCCCTATTTTTATAGTGGATGTTGTATATATATATATGGTTATATATGGTTATATATGGTTATATATGGTTATATATGGTTATATATAGTTATATATGGTTATATATGGTTATATAGCCTACTGTAATCCAAGCTAGCAACGGAAAATGCTTGAACATTATCAAATTTGCAGAAGATGCATTTGTACAACGAAAAATGAACTTCTAGATTCTAGTTGCCTGATAATACCTGAAGATTTCTTTCTGCTCAAGTCTTGGGGATACTCAGCGCGTTCATTTTATGCAAACAGCAGGATCTTCGAGGCGTTGAAGCCACCCATCCCCAGAGTCTCTTGGTTTTTCGGAGGTAAAACTTGCAGTTTTTAGTCCTGAAAACCTGGGGGAAACGACTCGACTGTAAAGAGTTTCCCAGCAAAACTCATCCAGTGATTGGATGATGTTGATGTAGTGGATTCAGAAAGACAATTCCGGAGAGAAGAGGAAGCTGCCCGATGCGTTGGGCCATCTTGGACCTAGTAGTACCTTGGAAGAGTCCAAGACCAAGATGTGTGTTTTGTTTCCAATAGAACTCATTAGACAAGCACGTTCACGTTGGCCATGTTTATTTTTGTTTGATTATATATATGTGTGTGTGTGTTCTTTTCTTCCCGGGCTTTGATGTCTTGTAATCTCTTGAAACCAACCGCAAACGATTATGTGCTCTAATTTTGTAAAAGGGATCACATAAGTCAACCTGGGTACCTAAGATTAGCCCCGTGGCCCCCGCACAAAAACAACATGAAAGCGCCCAATGAGTTGCAGCAAGAGAACGCATGTACCAGAACCCTCCTGTGAACTAAGATAAGGTATGGAAAACCCAGCATTTGCAGATCATATTCTGTGGAAAGAGATGGTTTTTTTCCAGATAGTTCTGTTGGTTTCTGCCTTGAATTACTGGAACAGTGAAGAGTATCCATTCCTAGTTGGTGCTTGAAACAGTAACTGTGTTATTTCTCAACATGTTTCAACCCCAATGGGATGATCAACAGCTTAAATCCTGAGAAAAGCCACGCCATGGCCACATCCACCTGGGATGCCCTGGACTACGCACTGCGGATGGTGGAGTCAGAGACACTGGGTCCGGAATTTGGAGGGTTACCCTCTGGGAAACGTGGCAATGGAAAACCCCCGGTAGAAATGAGTTTAACGGATAAATCATCTATAAAGATCTACAAATGGTGGATTTTTGCAATTGCCATCTTTGAGTAGCGTAGAGTATATTGGAATGGTCAATACCTATAAATATGTTTAAATTCTATAATCATCATATTTTCTGGATGAATTAGAATGACCTCACTGTGATGTCACTGGAATAATGGTGAATTTATAGGGGACTCATGCCGAAATTGTTTTCTGTCAGCTCTCTTCAGATTACTTTATTCTTACCATCTCAGGCAGATTATATAATCCAAACTAATCCAATGTTTACTGTTTACTGCCATTGTTGTTGATTAACCCTCATTATTGCCGTGCTATTATAAATCCCTCATGATGGTTAAGTGCCATGATTTGCCATGCTTATTCCATCGAACCATATTTTGGGTGGATGAACATCCATTTGCAGGTTGGAGGGGGTGAAAAATATGAAAAAAGTGGGTGTGTCCAACAATGGGGAGCACCTGGAAGCCTGGAAGCTGTCGTTTTGAATAAGGACAAATTGTTCAATCATCAGATTTGTGCGCGCCTGATGTTCAGACAAATTTGTGGGTATGGTAAGTATGCTATGTACCCATAAACTGCCAACAGGTCAATGATATGTATGGTGATATAACCATGGGAATATATTGAACATGTTTTGACAGAACCCTGTATACATGTTTGGGGGTACCTAGGATTTGGAATGATTTTCCCATTGGGGATTGATACTTATGACTCATGACCTTGCATAACAATCAATTTCCAGCCATTTTCATGTCAAAACTGATGATAAACCAGCATAGCCCTAGTTTCAGAAAACTCAACGGCTCCTATACTATCCTATACATTTTGCTGGGGTAAGATTAAGATCACCAATAATGCACTGCTGGAATGGTTTCGGACAGTTTTTTCCAGCAAAATCTGACGGAATAGGATTCTACTGCAAATCTAAACACGCGCTAGTTGGCAAACAGCAGCTTGTAACTCATAATTTAACAAACATGGGCAGAGAATTTACCCTCCAGCAATATAGGCTATGCAATATAGATTATGGAAAATCCACCCGCGTAGATCATTTCCGAATGGGCCAGGGGGAACCCATGGATTTTCATAGCTAAGTGTATATGTGTTTACTGGAGGATAAGAATGTAGATAGTGAGCCCAGTCCTGCAGGCCCAGATTCTGGGAAAAAAATGCTTTAATTATCTTTGAAGCTAGCTTGGAATTCCCTTTAAGTTACTGTATCCCGGATCACATGTTTTCTCCCCAAGGAAGTCAAACACTCCAGCTGCCATGAAACTCACCATTTCGGGCGCGGTTTCAACCATCCACTGTCACGGTAGTTGTTTGCCTTGGGTTTCCCACATGGGGATACGTGATTTTCTTCACCAGCACTATATGTCATTTATTGTTATTTTGGTGTGTCTAAAATCTCAAAATGGGTTTATGGCCCTAGGTTTCCGACATTATCATTTCAGGGGGGGGCAAAAAACAACCCTATACTCTTCTTGATAGGGGAATAATGGTATCATTAACCCCAAATTGGCTGGTATCTACTGAGGCTGAGATAGTTGTTATGTGAGGTTTTCTCCAAAAAAGGCTTTAGTACCCAAGAATGGCGTTTTTTTTGAATGTGTTTCTCTACATGATTCCCTCAAAAACCGACCCAGGCGGCCTTTTCTCTGCACAGTTTATTTGGTCTCAGCGAGCCATGCCACGGCATCTTGCACCAACTCACAGATGGACCCAGGGGACATCTGGCGCCACGACGGAAACTTTGGCGCCATGGGCGCTTTGGGGGGGTTCGCCTGAATGGGGCATTGGTGTCACATCGTCATATCACTTGTGGTGCAATGTGTGTACATGTAAATATATATATATATATATACACACTCATACATGTATCCTCTTGTACATGCATGCATGCATATATATATATGTATATATATGTACACACATGTTGTCTGTGTATATATATATATGTATATACATGCATATGTATATATATATATATATATACATGCATATGCATATGTTTTTATCTTTGTATATGATATATATATATATATACCTCAAGGCCGGTGTCTACTTAGCCTAATTGGTGAAACTTAATTTTACTTAGCTATCGATGGCTTTTGATGGCTGGGGTATAGTTTTCATGACCGTGCTATCTATAGACTATCTATGTGCTATCTATGGTATCTATGTGCTATCTACGTGCTATCTATGTGCTATCTATGTGCTATCTTGTGCTATCTGTAAATTCTCTGAAGTCCACCTACCAAGTAGCTACATTGTATCGGGAGAATATTGAAAGAGAGTTTTTGAAAATTCGGGTAGAACCAATTAAATAATATATCGAAGCGGACACACCGCCACAGAGTCAAAAGGTGAGCGGGCAAACCGCTGCAACCGAGACTGAACAGCTGCAAATTTACATGTTCGCATGTTGACATCGCTGCTGAAGGCCAGCTGTATTGACATCGGCATTGAACCCAATTCCAATTCAAAGCGGACACGCCGCTGAGAACATGAGAAACATTTCGGAAGATAAACAATCAAATGGCCAACTGAAAGCGGCCACACCGCTACAAACCTCAGAAAAGCAACATCCACCAGACTCAGGAAAACCATTTGTTTGAAACACATCACAAAACCTTCGCTAAATATCACAAAAAGCAGCAACTTAGAAAAATATTACAAAAAATAAAATAATGCACTCACAAAAAGAACAGCAAAAATCAATGAAATAGTGTTAAGTAGGTTAAGTAAAAATAAGTAGATCTAAGTGGAAACAAATTACTTAGACTAAAATCCTAAATTGTACAGGAAAAAATATGCCTTACTTATTTCTACTTAGTAAGTGGGCTAGCCAGACACAAGTTACTTCAACTTTCTTTAACAATGCTAACTAGCAAACATCTACCTAGTCTACTTGTAGCCTACTTATCCTAGTTAAAACCATGTTAAATCCTACTTAAAGTCAACTTATAAGTAGGCTAACTGTTACCGGCCTTGAGGTATGCACATATGGTTTGTGGTTTTATTTGGCTGAATACGGATGATATGGGATAATTGATTTACCCTTTGGTAATCATACATGGTTCGCTGGCCTCAAAAATGAAGGTTTAGCAGAATAGCCTGATTGTAAGTAAAGTAAATGATAGCCACAAGGAAGTGGAAATCGGTACTTTTATCTCTGGAACCATTTTGCCCCCCTGTATCTATCTCTGATTTGTTCATGTCTGTTTGGTGTACAGTACAGTGGCAATCGGGATGGGGAGATGCACTCAATATCGAATTTATATATCAAATAATTTTAGGTATAATTATAATCCAGGGAACCCCGACCCATGTTTGTTTTGTTTATACCCCCCATCTATCTGTAGATCATGGTAGATCTATCCACTATGAATCTCGTTGTTGGCCTGTAGTTATAAACCAATTTCTACATTTGCACCCACGGACTGGGTCAACTGTTACAAAGTTTTCGCCCATAATGCCAACCCCCAGACTGATAAGCCGCTGGGTTGTTTGATTTTATACAAACGGTGTGGCTGTTTGAGGGTCAGGGCTTCACAGCTGTGTCTACTCCAGCTGGAGTGAGATGCGATATCCCGCAAATGTTTATATAGACATCTTTGATCCCCAATTTTTTGGGATTTTCTTCTTCAATCTGTTCCCTTGGTGAGAATTGTCCTGGTTGATCAGAACTATATCGATTTTTTTGGTGTTATTTGTTTGTTTTGTCACTGGCCAATGAATGCCCCCTCCATAAACCATGCGACCTCTCATGGGAACCGCAGGCAACCTGCTCCAAGAACAATGGCAGAACAAGCGAAAGCATGAGGAAAAAAAGTGCATGGTACCATGGTATCATATAGTATCTGAGTTTCTGTAGAACAATTGTTGATTGGCAGGTTGATGACTTATTTGTGATTTTCTCAAAGAAACACAGCTGGAAGATATTGGAAAAATGATTTGTGAAGAATAAACCCGAAACAAAAAGGTATCCATACTGCGTTGCAGGACCCCTTCATGCAGCACCACCAAGATTTCCTTCTTGAGGCCTGCCTTCCACAATGTGGTTGTCCCCATTTGTAAGTTGGATTCTAAGCCCCATTAACTACCATTTTTTCACGTTTTATTTGCCATAAAATGCCATTAATCAACGTAGTTATAGCCCAACTTGGCTATAATTTCAATTAAACTTGGCTATTTCCCAGTTCTTTGCCAAACAAATCCACCAGGTGTAGGTTGTTGTTTGCCCATCGACACCGCCAAACCCATGGGCTCCACCCTGAAACATCCCAAGGTGCATCCATCTCTCTTCTTTCCAATCGCCGGTGTGATGTTGGCCTTGGTGGCGGTCACCAATTTCTCAGCAAAGAAGTGGCCTTGGTGGTGAATTCAGCCCCATTTTTTTCCCCACCTGTCAGGTGAGGGTTGTTAGATTTAATGTCAGCTGGCCTCCTTCTCCTCCGCCGGACCTCAACTGCAAGCGCTAGATCGCAGTGTTCCCCGCCGGACCCGAACAGCAACCGCTGGATGAAAGCGATCTTAGCCGGACCTCGACCACAGAGAAGCTCTGAAGATAGAATGCCAGAAAGAATGTCACAATCATAAGACATGGCATATTTACCACAAAGAAGATTTGAAGATATATCAGATAGAATGCCAGAAAGAAGTCAGAAGATATGCCAGATACAAACATTCCAGATAGAATGTCAAATAGATTGCCAGAATATGCCAGAATGAATGGAGATAGAATGGTAGGTAAAATGTTAGAATATATGTCCAAATATATGTTTTGAATGCCACGGTGGGCATCACTCGAAGCAAAGTAACTATACATGGTCTATCTAATGTGGTGAACCCGAACCCGTTGATCATAGATAAAAACCATATGTAGATCATTGGTCTCTAAGAAGCAGTGAGAACAAACATAACTGGTAAGGCGTATCTGGCGTACCAGAAGCATAACCCCAATCTCTTTTTCATTACTATGCCAGAAGACTGCACAACACACATTGTTTCATAGCAGTTTTTTTCCGTCAGACAAGTCTGGACGGTTCGGTCCTGAATATCCACTATTGCAAATATGACCTGAACAAGTACATAGGAAGAGTTACTGCCCTAAACTTTAAAGATTGCCAATTTTGCCCTGGTTTCCGGCCTTCTTGACAAATTTCCATGTCCACAATTTGGGGCAACAGATCTACCCATTCCGAAGCCACGATACTTCACCCAGGCATCTAGTGCTTGTGGCCCAGTGCTACGTGGTCGCCTTCCACACTGGGGGTGCTGCTGTCCACCTGAAAGTAGGACACCACCCAGTGGCAGCCCTGGGCCCTGGGGGCTTCGTTCTGCTGGGTTTCCTGGTTCTCTGGCTCCAGCAGGATCTGATCACGGCCCTGCTGGGCACAGGGAGCTGTGTAGTGCTGGGGCTATCGCTTTCCGCGATGCTGGTGAAGCGCAAGGACTGGTGGGACGGACATGTTCCATGTTCTTTTTGCTGTTCAAGTATGACCTGAGACTTAAGGAACTTGTGCTTTAATTAGCTGTGTTTGTTCTCTTTTGGGATGCTTGAACATGGTTAATTAAACAATTTTAGATTTGTTTTTGCACAGGCTGGTGCCCCCCAAAAAGGTTATGTTTATTGACAACACGTGCGGAAGCTTGAAAGGAGGGCACGGATGCTTTGCTGGAAGATCAGTGATTTCAACTTTGCGGCGTGCCCCGCAGCTCTGCAATGCTTGAGCTCGGCTAAGCTTGGTGCGTTTGGTGGTGAGAACCAGAACATGGCTGGTAATTTACCGCGGCCAAAAAGTAATATTCTCAACCCAGTCATGGCTGGATGTGCCAGAGTCGCTGTGAAGATCCGTGAAGAAGCAGAAAAGGGTTGCGGTGCTGTGGGGCGACAGTGGGAATCAAAGGAACTCAGGTGATTATTCATGGCATAGGGGGCTCATTTCCAAGGGGGCGCCACTGGTGAAAAGGGGATAGGGGGATAATGTTGGATACTGATTAGTGTAGCCCCCCCCAAACAATTTTAGTCTACTCAATAACTCAGCATTTTCTTGGGGACCAGGTCTGGGGAATTCAGGATGATCAACTCAAGTAAGGGTTTCAATTGAAATCAATCTACTTTCAATTGATTTTCCTTTGAAAACTTCAAACAAATATTGATAAGAAAGGCTTTCAATTGAAAACAATCTACGTTCAATTGCTTTTCCTTTTCAACCTCAAAGAAATCTATTGATAAGAAAGGATTTCCGTTGAAATCAACTTACTTTCAATTCATTTGAATCTACATACTTTCAACTGATTTTCGTTTTGCCGTACATAAATCTTAAAAAAAAACATCGCCCCACAAGTTTTTGTGCACAATAGGGTGCCATCCAAACAATTACATTATTGACGATCTGGGTCGCTCATGGGGTACCCCCTTGAACAATTGTTTTTGTGCCGTTTGCGTGCTGTTTTTTTTTTTAATAAGCGTTTAATAAGGCATCTAATTATTTGGAGAACCTTGCATTTTCAAGGCTTTAACATGGATATGGCTTTCTAAAGTAAATGCACCAGCTTTACCCAAAGAAAGGTGTTTTTGGAGGTGGAAAATAAGTTCCTCCTGAAAGAGATGGATCTGAGAAAAAAAAAATCACAGTAGAGGCCCACCCCCACCATTTGCAGGATACCCTCTGGTAAACTAACATGCAATGGAAAATCACAATTTTTAATGGGAAAATCCACTATAAAAGTCCATTTTCAATAGCTATGTTAAATTACCAGAGGGTACTCAATAATTTTTGAAAAAAAACACAATAGAGGCACATGACACGAATCGGTATATTACATATATACAGTATATATATATATTACATCAAAGGAGTATACTGTACAAAGTTTGAGAAACTCCTTCAGTCACCTGTATATGTTTTCAGAACATGTGTTTAGTTGCGGCTCAGGCTGAAGTTGCATGTGCTAAAAAGTAAGTCCGGGTGAACGTTCACACGAACGATTTCCACGTTGTTTGATGTTGTTTGCGCATTACGTATTTCAATTTCAATAATCAGTGCATTTGGACTGTTTTTCCTCTCCTGGGCTATGCATTCCGCGTACCTGCCTTCTCATTATTGAGGCTAGTTGAAGCCGTGATGAAACACCAGTTGAGTTTTAACGGATAGTTAGGTCCCATAGCAACTACTAACTGCTGACCATACGCTGCAACAAAAGCCGCTGCCAGGCTGGTGTTGATGAGCTACAAGACACTGGGCTGCACTTTCCATTGGTTGATGAATAGAGGGGTTCCCCCATGTTTTTCATGATCACTAGGCACATACGGGCTTTCTCAAAATTAGGGAAATCGCCAAAACCATAGGTTTCAATACTAATATATATATATATATATAGAGAGAGAGAGAATAATAATAATAATACAATAATAATCATGACTTGGATGATTTGGCAGTAGGAACCCCCAAATGATCATCTTAAAGATGTCCAAACCGGCCCATCGCTTTGCTTCAAGAGCCCCTTATTTCAATCAATCCCAACAAATGGGGCGCTGATATGTGACCTTTCCACCTTTCCCAGGACCTCCAAAGATGAGATCCAGGAACTCATGTCCAAAACGCAGCAGCAGTTGGAGCCCTTGATCGCCGCTCTGACTCCGGAGGCGGACGGTGCGACTCAACCACCACTGGGGATATTTGCTCGATAACTCTTAGTGAATATCTGTGCTTGATTGACTATCATTATCAATCAATGCCCACATGGTTTGCTCTACATCCCTCTTGATATCTGTCCCATCCCACCTCCAATTTGAGGTTCCATTTGGGCTTCGCTTTTGCATCCCATTGGATACTATGAGTTTATACACTTCCTGCAAACACTCCATTCTTAAAACGACCCATCAAGCTGAGCTACAGTGGACCTATCGTAAACCCATGTCAACCTCCAGCCATCCCTGTGACTCATGCAGGAGCGGGACCGCGCAAAGCAGAGCTTTGTTTTGGTCTCGCAGCCAGCGTGGCACATTTCTTTCGACCGCTGCTGGTTGCCCTCAGTAACCCATTCCTGGTCCAAAGAGCTTCGGTGACCGGTGAAGGGGTGAAAAGGTGATGTTGACCAATTGCTAACGAAATGAAGAATCCACCAATAAAGTAGATCATGTCCTAGGCAAACTATGGATTTTCATGGATTTTCCATATATTGTAAATTACTTCAGTTTACCCCTTTGTTCTTTTTGTTTTTCCATGAAAACCAAGTCCAGCATTTTGTGCGAAACATGAGTTTTACCCCCAAAAAGATGGGGTCACTTGTTCCAATCGTTGGCTCATCATCCATAATGGTAGACAACACATGACAATACAACGGGATAAACATGTTTTCCTGGGTTGAGATTTTTTTTCTCTCTCTCTCTCTCTATAATATATATATATATATATATCTATACTATTGCATACTATTTATGCTGCAAGTGATAAATTCATTAACCAATTGGTTCAGCGCTACTCCGGAAGCCTCATGAAGCCTCTAGTTGATGCTGGGGATCGGCTCATCATAAAATCCAAGGAAGTCACTCTGCTGCAATTTTCGTCGGAGTACGACTTCTCAGTCAGCACCCAGCCACAGAGTATCCGTGGAGAGTCTTGACGAAAGTAGCCTGAGCCACGTTGATCCGCTAAAACAGTGATTCCGGTCTGTACGTTTAATATTTGTAACATGTATCATGTATATAATTATAGGTATATATATATATATAAGTCCTATGGTGTGCCCCAAGAGAATGGGGGCTTGAGCCCCTAAACAAATAGAAAACTGAGCATATCCGAAGGAATTTTGAAATAAAATTGGTTCATTTTTTACATTTTATTTAGGTCCCTGCATTTTATTTTATTTTTTTAGGGGCCCAACCCCCCTGGCACCACACGACTTATGTATATATATATATGTATACATGTATATTATGTATTTGTGTCATTTTACATCCCCATGCAGCAATGCAGGGACCTCAAACGATCAGGATTGAGTGAAAACCTAGATATCATCAGGTATCATCAGGCCTAGGCGGCATTCTTTCATTTTCCCATCTTTTTTAAAAGTATATTGTGCCTTCTCCTTTCGCATGTTCACATGTTGGAGCTATTTGTATCCCGTGGGATTTTGAGGTGATCGCTGGCGCAAGATCCAAGTCTTTCAAAACAGATTCGGAAGGGCAAGAGCATCATGATGTACCATGATATTTACCATATTTATTTAGCACAAAACCAAAATAACCAAACGTGTTTCAAGGGTCAAGACATCTTTTTTTCTCCCAGATTGGGCCAATCGAATTTATGTGAAGACTTGACCCCACAGCACTGCTGAACTCCAAATTTGTGGCATGAGTTAAATCCCCATTCTTTTGTTAAATCAACATGTTTGGTGAACCCCAATTCGTGCTTTTAGACTTAACCACCTTTAAAAGGTGGTTAAGTCACCATTTTTTCTGGTGGCAAAATCGAATTGTTGTGGTATATATATTTTTTTCGCAGTTAAGTCACTGTTGTTAAGTCATTGTTGTTAAGTCACTGTTGTTAAGTCACTAATGGTATATATTGTTAGTGTTTTTGTTGTGGTTTTTCAACCATCTTTTCAGCCGTTCAGGACTGGGCGAAGGATGGCCTTGAGGAAGCTCTGAGCAAACCGTTGCGCTGGGTGGGTGGACTCTGTGAGGAACAGGAGATGGATCCCAGGCGCTGGAATGCTCGGATCCACGAAGAATGGGGAAAGTTGTAATATTAGTGGGAAATCTATGGAAATATCATTCATCCACTAGAAATGGAGGTTTTATATGGTTTTATATGGGAAAATCATGGGAATATTAGTGGGATATACCCTCTGGTTATGACTAACAGTTCGCCATGGTATAGATGGCCCATAGAAATAGATGGTTTACCTAGCTATAACATGGTGATGTTCCATGGCTATGTTAGTCATAACCAGATGGTACCCTCTGGTAAACTAGATATATATATATATGCAAAATCACCATGTTGAATGAAAATCAACTAGATATGGCAACTTTCAAAAGTCAATAGCTACTGTATGTTAGTTTACCAGAGGGTAACCCGCCCAAATAGCAATGATTATCAGATTGTATGTGTCCCGATCTTCCGATTAGTTTTTCGGTTGGTACGTCATTTTTTCTGTCAGCGCGTGATGTGCTTTGCGGGGAACAAGAAGCTGCAACAAGGCATGAATGCAACTTTGCTCAGATAAAGTAGGGTCTTTTGAGACATGTTTAAACCATCTTATATTTCCCCTCAGGAGACTAGCTATGAGCGTTTTGCTTTTTGGCTACATGCACAATTATATAATATTATATAGTCACAATTACATATAGACATGTATACGCACACGTGCACTTTTATTCCTTACTTGCTTACATCAAAATGTTCATCCACTTTTGCAATTATATATATATTAAATATATATATATACACACATGTTAGCACTTGCGAATTATAATCTGACCTGCTTCACTCACACATGGCATCCTGCTCCGTTTGTTTCCAGTTGGCCCGCTCCTAGCACTGCACTGTCGGGTTCCATCGCACTGGTGGCCCGGGGAAGTTGCTCACACTATCACAAGGCCCGCAGTGCACAGGACCGCAACGGTCCGTGGCCGTTTCAGTTGGGGCATGGTAGCTATATGGAGGTTTCCTAGGTCATGGGGGTACCCCAAAATTATGCAGTCGTCATGGATGATCATGACTTAGTATTGAGAGCCGTGACTTGGTCTGTATATGTTTTTTGTTTTTGTTGGGAGTTTACATATTGAGCACTATAGAATGGAGGTGTTGAAAAATAGGGGCATGGGGTCTATTAGATTTGTAATTTGCAATGGTTGTTCTTGTTGATTAATTGGTGTTCGGAACAGCTCAGCCCGAACGCCATGCTTGTCATCATAGTGGTCGCATTTTAGTTTCACCACAGAGAATGGGCACTTTACATATCGACATGTCCCAGTGGTATATTAACGATTGTTAAGCCATTACTAGTCGGCCTATGATTTGATTATATAGTGGACTTGACCCACGATTGGGAATATCTTAAACGTTGCAAATTGACGTGCTTATGTTGATACCAACCATGACTTCCTAATCATTGTTTTCTGTACTTGACCATTGCTTGATCCATACTTGGCACTATTTGGGAGTTTTGTAATATCGTCGGTGATACTGTTGGCTAATTGTTAGGGCAGGGCGCCCCCCCAAACCATTGGAGAGTTATTAAAGGATCCGTGCACTGAGAATATGGTTGAAACAAATGGAGTCTGACTTGCAAGGTTTCAAGGGTATGGGCCAGAATGATCACCCCAATCTATGGACATCTATTCATACTGTATTATATCATCGGTCTTTCATCATGGTCCGTAATCCCCTGCAAGATGCAGAAATCTGTCAAACATAAAGAGGTTGCGGTAAAACCAACAAATGTGCTGGATCAGTGCGGAGGATTGGTTTGTGGAACTGACTGGAACTGAGGACCTAGTTGGTCAATGGATGGTTTTCTTTATCGACCGATCTAGTTCGGCGAAGTTGGTACCAGGACCGGGGTGCCGCGGGCATCGTCATCTTCAGCTACGGCGAGCAAACGGTGGCCATGAGTTGCGCCGCACCGGAGCCTCGGCGATGTCACCTGCTGATGTAAGAATGGTGATTTTCAGCCTTGATCGAGGCAGTAAAAATGGTGATTTTACCACTAGAAATGCTGATTTAACCATTAAAAATGCTGTTTTAACTGATTTAACTATATATTAAACATGTTGATTTAATTAACCATTAAGATAAGATGATTTAACTATTGAACATGGTGAATTGGTTGGAAATTCTAATGGTATCATGGGAATATCATGCGAATTCGCCATGAGAATGTATAACCAACAAAATGACACTTGGATTTCTTGATAAATCGGGTCAATCCCTCACCATATGGTCATTCTGTGAAGAACTGATAAACGGTGACATGAAAAATTGGTGGCGCCCCACTTTTAGGCGCAAACTGCATAAAACCTAGCATGTGTAGATTTTTCCTGGGATGTCTCAGGGAGAGTCCCCGCGAAAAATGGAATGGCTTACTCAGAAAGGTTTGCCTATCCGAATTGTGATTACATTTGATTCCTGGTAATTACCCTCTGGTAAACATACGAAAAACTATGGAAAATCACCATTTGTACTGGGAAAATCCACTATAAATTGCCATTTTCAATGGCTATGTTAGTTTACCAGAGGGTAAACACTTTGCTATGGAAAATCACCATGGGCATTGTACAGTAATTCATCGAATTCCATTGACCATGGCTTCCATAGCTAAGAAAATTTCCTGGAGGGGAAGCTTATCCTATCATTGCGTTTCGGAAAGTATCCATTCGTTTTGGGGGAATCCCTATGAACCCAGCGGAACCACGTTTTGGATTTTTTTTGCGCCTTGCCTGAAACCTTTGCACGCATGGCTCAGACATGGATTACTGCATGGCGGATCATTTGTTGTACCCCGCAGTGAATTAAAATAGACCCTGCCAGACAGGAGTTGGAAGATCAGTTTCCACTCAACAAATGGGTACTTTCAGTGTCGATGTTGATATACTGGAGGGTAATTATCATTCACGCATCCAACTTCACAGGTCAACATGTTGAACCAGAAATAGCAAGTAAAGCTAAGACTTAAGCGCGTCGGCGTGACTTCCGGTGGTCCCCAGAATCGATGCTTAGTGGGATTTGATGATCATAAAAACAGGTCCTGAAAACAGCTTTGGAATGGTTTAGTAGCGGTTCTGAATCACATAGAATACTAGTATATCATTATATCATAGTATATCTAGTATCAATTTGGTGTTCTTCAATGCGGTACATGGTTTTACCATGTTTTACCATGTTTTACCATCAACCAGGATTCCGAATGCCTTGACCTTGACCCAGGTTGTTTTCCTCCGTGAAATGTCCAAAAAGAAGGAATCACCCCGAACGCCTTTATGGTTTCCGATGGTTCAAAGTCCTATGGTTTTCGCCGAATGTTCATAGGATCCAGGGATCCAGGGATCCAGTTCTATCGCAGGATCCTTGCGATGAAGTTTTGCAGATCCCCGTGCTGATGATCAGCAGGTCATTGGGCGAAAGGCTGTTGGAGGACGACTGGAACTGGATCGCCAAATGGTGAACGCGGTGATCTATTTTTATTAGGGGCTATTTAGTATTAGGGTGCCCCTAATATTCCAATGAAAAACCCCAACCATAGAAATAAAAAACATGATTTCAAATTTGATTCAATCCAATTGTGTCCAACCAAAAAAAACGGAAGTGCCAGAAGTGCCACACCGATCCTATGTTTTTATTTGGGGGGTTTTAGTAATAGGAAGAAGGGATTATAATTTATAATATTCTTGCTACCAGTATTGGTCAAAATGTCAATGTACTAACCACCGAAAGAAAACCAGGTATCTAAGGTTTGTGTAAATGTCACAGGAAGATACGAACCGGAGGGGTTTCACACAATGAGGTCGCTCCGGGTTGTCACGATGACATCGCTGTTGGTGTTGTTGTTGTTGCTGCTGCTGTTGTTGTTGTTGTCGTTGATGATGTTCATGATATTGATGATGTTGATTTTCTTGCAGTAAGCTGACACCATGAATCTTTGGCCCTTGGCAGCGCCTTTTTTGAAAACTTAATGTAAACTTATATATACACGTGATGCTACCTGGTGGGTTCAATATGGTTGGAACCAGAGTTCTCCAAGGAATATTAAGGTCTATTCAGGGGTTGCATCCTCACCAGCCTTTTCTTGAAGGATAACCCTCCCTTCGTATTGCTGGTTGCTGTATGACTCAGTTTGGACCCCCTCTTCACCAACTATTCTTATTAATTAATGAGTTTATTATTATATTATTGTTATTGTTATTATTATTAATATATTTTTTTTATTATCTATAATTATTGATATTACTATTTTATTATATTATATATAGATATTAAATATATATAGCTACCAGTTAATTGTCCTCATTGGCCATAAACTCCGGAGAATCCCCATCAAACACAGTCACTAATCAACCACCGCTAATTAATCAACCATCAACTTGATTATGGTTGGTTATGGATGGCTGTGGTTGGTCAATGGGACCATGATCAACCATGATCGCCTATGATTTTCCAATTATTTTTCTAATATTTGCATATGGTCCCAAGACATGATTTCCCCTGATATTGGCCCATTTCCAGAGGATGTTCTGATGTTCCAACATTTTTTCATAGGTTTTGGATGGTTTTGAATATTTTGGGTGCACCACCATGGGCCCTCCCCGGTTTTACCGGGCCCAAACTGGGCCGCAGGAGTTGTTTCCCAACGTCACCAGCGACGACCAAGGCCCGGCGACGGAGCGGGAGGTCACCGCGACGTTGAGGTCGCAGAGACAGGGGCCCGACTTGGTGGGCGTTCTGGGAGGCGGTGGCTTGTGGTACCTCGGATGGCACTAGTTGGTGAGGTGATTTTTTGCTGGTTGATTACTCGTAAGATTACCTTCTAGTAAACTAACATGATTATGGAAAACCTACGGAAAATCAGCATTTGTAATAGGTAAAGCAACTATAAATGGGCTTTTTTCAATAGCTATCTGAAATTACCAGAGGGTAATGGTTGTTTGATAGTTGTTTGATGGTTGATTAATTGTTAGTCATCAACTGGAGGTCGCGGCTGATGTTGAGAGGTACCCTTTTCCGGTCATCAAACGTGGCAACCGAGAAATCCCCAATGGAGTGTGAATGGGAAAAACATCTACCCTATGGTAAACATACAAAAAACTATGAACAATGGCCATAGAAATAGTTGATTTACCCATTAAAAATGGTGATGTTCCATAGTTATGCAAACGTTTACCAGAGGGTATCAATGGTGGAGTTTCCATTGCCATGTTCGATTACCGGATGGTAATCATTTACCAATTTTACCAATCCAGCAACGGTCGGCCCGGTTGGCAGCGGTATTTGGGATCCAGCTTGGTTGAGTAAACTATGTTCATCGAGGGGCCTTACATTGACCAACAGGTGAATAATGGCTGAGGCTCGCACCCAAAAACTGTGTGCGGCGTTCTTCTCTGAAATGGAAAATGGACAGGGTAGGCTTGGAAAAGTATAAAGCCTTCTGGGTGAGGTGCGATTCGCCACCATCAACTGTGCTTAAGAATTTATGTCGTGAACCTGGGACACCAAGGAATTTGGGGCAACTAAGCCATGGTTAATTACTACGTTATTATCCCAGCATTTTTCAGAACGGCCCCTCATGGGGGAGTGATTGTTGGACTAAAAATGCTTAAATCTACTGGTATTTACAGTGTTAAAACATCATAAAACATCGGTATTTACAGTTTCGATGATGGTGTTTGATGAAAATTCATTCCACCACAGGGGGCAACTCAATACCCGCGCAGCCATGAAAGTGGTTGTTGGTGGTCAAAACAAAAACAAGAAGCTCAACCGTTGTTTGGGGTCATACTTCAGACGGGTCGTTCATTCTTTCCATGACGTATGTAGATATTTATCCATATCTTAGGATTGGGACGTTGATTGAGGTTCTGAACCCGTTTGTAATTGCTTGGGGTCCTATCGTTGCATGATTTATCATACTTATCCCCCCAGGTTTTCCATCTGTGAGCTATTGGTCTACAAGAATCGCCCAGTCTACAAAACAAAAAGTATGGAAACTTTGGAATGCTGGGAAATTTGGGGCCTTATTGGGTGGATATCATCGATACCACCCTGGAAAAAAACGTTTTTTTCTTGGGCACCCCTAAAGCCCTAAGATATGCTTGCGCTATGACATGGGTCAGGTAGGGGCCATTAATCTGCCAGGTATAACTCGCCCATTGGCATGTCCAGATTGGCGGACGAGCTCATTGGAATGGAGTACCGCAGGAAGCTATTGCAACGGAGGGAAGAGCTGTCGCAAAGTGGGGATGTGCTGCGCATTGACGCTGGGATTGGAGAGAAGAATGGCAAAAAAGGGGTCAAATGTGGTCATATTCGGGTAAAGCTTGGGTATTGCTTGGTTGAGATGTGTGTTTCCGCCACGACTTGAATATTTTTTTGGATTTTTTATTTATTAAAGGGGTGATCCAAGGCTAAACATGTTCAAAACATGTATAAATGTATAAACCTGTCCTTGTGAGGAAACAGGGCATGCTACCCAAGACTTAACCGTACAAACAACAGGCACTACCCTTTGGCAAACTAACAGAGCTATGAAGCCCCCCATTTTAATAGGATTTAATCATATTTAATAGGTAAATCAATATATACATCAACTATAAATTTGGGATATTTTGAATGGGCAATTGTCTATAGCTACGTCTTGGTTAGTTTACCCTCTGGTAATTTAACATAGCTATTGAAAATCACCATTTTTAGTGGAAAAATACACTATAAATGGGCATTTTCAACAGCTATGTTAGTTTACCAGAGGGTACCAGATGTTTCACCGCAATTTGTTGGTGGTCTGATGTTTTGAGATCATCACCCCAGAGACTTGGTCAAGTGACTTTACCACAGCCAAAACTTGGGGGGAACTCTCCCCAAACAACCATAAAATACCCTCTGGTAAACATACAAAAAACTATGGAAAGATCCACCATTTTCTAGCTGGGTAAATCCCACTATTTCAATGGCCATGTTCAATAGCTATGTAACAAATTACCAGAGGGTATCCCATTATCACCCCACTATTCACCATTGTTAACCCATGGTTAACCCATTAAATCAACGTTAAATCACCATTAAATCACCATAAACTCTTCCTGTAATATGCAGGATCCAATGTCCTGTGAGTCCTGTGTTGCTTGGTGATTTCCGGGCCCAGGAGGTGTTCAAGCTCGCCGCCTTCCCTGGGGGCCTCACCTTCCCCTGGCCTGCGAGCGATGCGCAGACCATCCGCGACGGCAAATATACGGAGCTGGAGGTGGAACTGGCGCTGGACTGCAAGGCCGGAGATGGCTGAGATGGCTGATTTCATGCTGGTTGAGGCATTGGTTACTAATGTGGGTGCATTGAACTGATGTGGGTTGAATGGGATTTTCATGGGAAGATCATGGAAATCTCATCCTTGATATATACCGTGATATATACCATGATATATTGAATATGATTTTAATGGGAGTGAGTGTCATGAGATCTCCAAAAAAATCTACCACGAAGGCTGAGATTTGTAGGGTGGAAGAACTGGTGCAACCTGTTCAACTGATGGGGAACATAACGGGAGTTTTTCGGGATAGCGATTTGAAAAAGGGATTTCTATATGGATTTATAGGGATTTATGTTATGAATTATTGGGATCTTTAAACCAATTCTGGGTTGCTTGAGATATGGATGGGATTATTGTCAATGGCTTTTTGGGGAAAATCGTCAGGAAACCGGTTTTGGGAAATCAATGCCAACACCTACCATGTGGTTTGGTTAGGTTTAAAACCCTGAAGATGGGATCGTGGGTTTCGTTAGGTTTAAAACCCTGATGTTGCTGAATTTTTGGAGCAGCCATGTGATTCATCGCACATGCAGATTTTTTCAATAGAGCAGCCCGTTGTTCGGAATGTCAGGAAAGCTCATAGGCTGGGAGTCGATCTCTCATGTCACTCGACTTGGAACACGAATGTATTCCCAATTATCATGATTATCATTGCCACTAATCAGCCTAATTGATAAGAACAATAATAATCAGCTAATCATGGGCATATAATTACAATAGTCAGCGAATAGTGGCTCATAACATCTCATAACCTGGATAGAATGGATATATATATATATATACTGTATATATATATGGAATTATATGGATATATATATAATATGGATATGTATATATAATCAGAATCAACCAATTATATCATACAATATCCAATGATCATATCAACTAATAATGACAGCAGCCCGCCAGGATCATTTAGATGACAATTGTCCCCCTTGGGACCATGAACTCAACTTGTACCTCTGCATCGAAGGCGGCATCGGGTGATATGTTTGTTGGTGCTTCCAAATACCCTTTGTAAATGGATTGGTTCAAGGGACAAATTCAATTACTGGAAACCCCTGTACTGGTTGGTGGTTTGGAACATTTTTTGTGTTTTGCATATATTGCGAATGTCATCATCCCAACTGACCAAATCATATTTTTCAGAGGGGTGGGTATACCACCAACCAGCTATATTTACTGTGAACATCGATGGGTTTCCTGGTTCGATTTTCCCTACCAGTCCAGTGACCTAAACGGTAAACATGGCAATGGCAGCCGTAAACGTTTTATTGATCGAGGATTTCCCAGGCACGTTTGATTTCCATGAGAGGGTATGTTTTTTTTTCTCTTCCAGGAATGATGTTTCCAATGACACGTAGATGTTTAGATTCTGGAGTGAAATCCAGAGTCCTGTTGGGTTCTGTGCCGCCATTTTTTTGACAAACAAAGCCAACTCTTGGGTCGACTGAAGATCTAAACCACATGAAATCCCGATCTTGAATTAGATTAGATGATTAGATCATCAGGCCATCATAATGCTAACTTGGCAATGGAAAATCCACCGTTTACACTCGATCCTCAAATAACGCACACTTTTCGTTGCCATTTTAAAGCCCCAGGGTATCATCATGTATAATTTGAAACATTGGTCAACTACTCATGTTAGTTTGACTTCTTTAAAACATATTAAAATTAAGATACAGTGCTGGCTGCCACATGTTTTCTTTCCTCATTCAACTCAGCCGCCGTTGGACGCCGCGGCGTCCAGGTGTCTCTGCAAGTTCGGCCTGCCACGACCGTCGCCTCAGCGTGTCACGCTGGGTGACGCCCTACGGCCGAGAGGCGCATTGGTTCAGCGCAAACACGGCGGCCCTGCCACTGCTGAGCTCCGCTGAGGCGGTGGCAGGCGCCCTGGTTGGGGATGGGCATATTTTCGGAGAAAAACTCAGGGAATGTTCACTACTTAAAAAAAATAAAACAGTGTTTGGTTGGGGAATGTTGAGTATGGGGGTTAATTATACTGTTCATTATACTGTTATACTCTTCATTTTTTATTGGGGATTATCACATTCCAATTGGGAAATCCTATGAAAAAAAGGTGGATTCAAGGGGGTAAACTGTGAACAGTGGAGGCTTCAAGATGATTGAAGCAGTCTTTTGTTAGTCAGTTGGGTGTCAAACGATTTGATGGAACCTCATTTGTCACGTATTCATATTTTGAATTACGATATATATTATTTGGATGAATTCACCAAGCATCTTGGTGTCTTTACGCTATGTTTGATTGCCACAGGGTTTTCACCTTTGCGTTCACGTTCACGGAACCGTGAAGTTGGTGGACTTGATGGATGATAAAAGTTGGTCGAGGGAGGGCCGAGAAGGGGTTTAACACTTACTGGTTGGTGGTTTCAAACATGACTTTTATTTTCCATGATATATGGGATGTCATCTTTCCCATTGACTAATATTTTTCAAGATGGTTATTGCACGACAAATATATTTATGGAGGATTTATTCTTTGACTAGCATTGATTGGGTTAGATATTGAAGGTATAGTGGGTGGCAACGAAACTTGCCGGATAATATCATGAATGAGTTTTTATTCTAGTTAAGGTGAAGGAGCACATTTGCTTAGTGAAGGTACTGTAATGCTGAATGGTCAGTGACTGTTTGGCATAATTTGTCAGACCGTAGGTGTAACACCTTTTCATTGGGATGGAGAAGATAAGAGGACGACGTCCCAGCGATGAGAATGGGTACTGTCGGGGACTGTGTTAAGAAAATGCGTTTAAACAAGAAAGTAGGCTCAGGCTCTAATTGACTTAGACTCTAGTTTGTGGAAAACAACTATTTTTTTCAACGTATACCTGATTTATACATATATATATATACCTGTGACTTCCTAGGTATGCAAAATTAATGCTCTTTGAGAATTTTGTGTTGGCGGCACTATTTTTTGTCTCCGAGCGTTTCTTGCATTTTCTGTCTTTTTGCACATTTTGTGCATCCGGAGCTGTCTTGTTAAAACATGTTGCCAATATAATGGAACCTTTGAGGCATTAAGAGATGCAACATGAATCTAAACCTCCAAGAAATTGTCCAAAAAATGAAGAACTTCTCATACAACATGTTCATTCATGTTCATTCATGTTTATTCATGTTTATTCATGTTTATTCATGTTTATTCATCGCTTCATTTCCAGCCCTTGACCTATGGCCGCAAGAGCTGCAGCATCACTTGGGAGCTGGTCATGCCTTGGCGCAACCGGCTTGTTTGTTCTCAGGTGAGCTTGGGTCTGGGTATATCCCAATTTGTTTTTTGAACTTTGTGACTTCTGAAGCAAACATTTGGGCTTCAAACATCATCAAACATTTGGCCACAGCCATGATTCATGCAAACGAAGGGCAGTTGGCCACGGCTTTGGAGGAGGATAGTGCTGTCCGCCGCCTCGTCAGGGAGACCGGTAAATTGACCCAGTGGAAAACTCCAGCTTTGGTTGGGGTGGCTTCCACAGATGCCGCAGCTCTCAACCACAAGGTACTGACTCATGTTGCTGCATGGTGGACCCCAAGAGTTAGCATGCCACAAGCCATTCCCATAGAGCAGATGAGGAAAGAGGCCAGGGCTTGATAATACAAGATCCCCAGGGAACAGAAAAATCCAAGACATGTTATGGTGTAATGTTAGATTATCGTTTTTGTTCTGTTATGGTGATGCCCTCTTAACCCTGAAGGTTACCATGTTCTACCAAATGTTGGGGCTTGCCAATGCCCATTGCTGCTTCCAAGTTGATTCGTGGGGGTTGAAACGACTCTACAGTCACATGATTCGACGCTGGTTGACTGGTGCTCTGGGACCACGCGACACTCTCCTGGTCTATTTCATGAACATTTCGTTGAACCCTTCTTTTTTCTATAGCACCCAAAGCCTACACAGAAACCTATAAATGGAAAGAGTGGGTTTGATTGAATCCACTTACAGTAAGTGATTGGCCCATCATTTATTCACTGAGGATCTCTCTTTGAAGCCTTTGTGGGACATCTTCGACCAACACTGGGGCCCTACTGCCAGTCGAGGGGCCGGTACTGATCTGGTCGATGATGATGCTGATCGGCATGCTGCTGCAGCTCCACCTGAGGAATCAGCGGCTGTGACTGCGGATGAGATTTCGTCTACAACCGTTGTGGACGACTCTGTGACCATGATGGATTCCCAACTTGTGCCTGATGGCCCGGACGACCAACCTATGCCTTTTGATGATTCCATGGATGAGCCAATGGATGAGGAGGATGAGGAACTTCTCCCTGAAGATTCTCAGCCTTTGTTTCCTGAAGATTCTCAGCCTTTGCCTGATGAGCCTTTGATTCCTGAAGATTCGCAGCCTTTGATCCCTGATGATTCGCAACCTTTGACTGAGACTGTCCTTGAAGATTCACAGGACCCGGAGCCAAGCCTGGTTGTGGGCGAGGAGTCCAAGCCAGCCAACGGCCCATGTCCTGTTTGTGGCAAGGTTGGCCCTCATGAGTGTGCGGATTCGGACCCGGGGCCATGCCGTGATGAGTTGAATCGTGAAATGGATTCCCAACGTGATGACCTTCGGAAGAAGATCCAGCGGCTTAGGTGTAGTTTCCCCTTTCAAAACCAAACATGTTTAAGATCTTTTAAGAATGGAAAATTATGGCAACATGTTGGGATGAAAATGTTTAAGAACTTCTTTATTGGGTTTTGGTTGGCTGGGCCCCTTCAAGGTTACTGGCGGCAGAGGCCAAGAAAAGGCAGTTGACACGTGGACTCTTGAAACAATTTTAGCAGCTTTAGCCCCTCCAAAGCCAAAAGGGCTGTTCTTTTTTTCTTTTTTTTTGATGGGGTTGTCACCGCTACAACCAGGAAAATCTTCGGTGGCCATCGATGCACTTGAGACCCTCCCGATGGACCTGAACGACGCTGAAACTGCCTACCATCAAGCTGCTGCAGGGCTCCATGGTGAAGTGGTGAACCTGGAATCTGGCTCATCTGACAGTGATGGAAAGAAGGCCCTTGAAAAAAACAATTGAGCCCTATGGCAACTACAGTGATCAAGTTATAAGTTATAAGATGTTTTAAGTTATGGTATCAAAATTTCACACCATAAATTACCAGATAGTCAGACATCATGGGTTCAATGCCCTACCAGGAAGAGGCAAGTGCTGGATCTACAGCTCCCGAAGCCACCGCAATTGCCGAGTCCAAACCCAAAGAGGAGAACCCACCAGCAACAGCGGTTGAGAAGCCAACGGACAAGACCCAGCTGGACAAGTTCGAGAAAGGGATCGCCAAGAACATTGGCAACAAAAACATGCTGAATCTCATGGAGCTGGCAGATGAGGCGTGGCCTCAAAAAGAATAACATTGCAAAACTATGCAAAACAACAGTTTGAAGTTTGTTTATTGTTCAAGGCCAGAAAGTTTTCAAAGGTTTAAATATTAATTTCAATCTCCGTTGGTAGGTTAGTTCGTGTACGCTAGTTTAATCCACAGCTTTCGTCAGGTGCCCATTGTTCTTCGCCGTGAGCAGCTTAGCGCACCCTTTCGAGGTGGTGATGGTGCTGAAACGGATGATGATGTAGAGGGCAAGGGTGATGAGGTTGAAGAGGGAGAGTACAAGTCTGAAGATGGGGATCATGATGGAGCCAAACCCAAGAGTGCCAAGGGCAAGGGAAAGGGAAAAGCAAGAGCAAAGGCCAAAGCCACAGCGGCCAAGGCCAAAGCCAAGGCCAAAGCCAAGGCTAAAGCCAGTGGCAAGTCTGCAGCGAAAGCCAAGGCAGCCAAGGCCAAGGTTGATGAGAAAGTGGAGAAAGGTGAGACATGTAAGGATACCAAACCCTTGAAGCGCAAGAGCGAGGGTGATGCTGAAGGTGGTGATCAAAAACGCAAGGGCAAGAAGTCTGGTGATGAAGTTGCCACATTCGCCAGAAGGTACAAGCCGGAGCATGAACCCTCGGCAACTCGCTTCCAGGCTATCCGTGACATCTACCAGAACCACATTGCCAACCAGTTGGTTCGCCAGTCTTCTTACCAGGACAGTCTTCAACTACCCAAACTCTGGAGAATTTTAGGGAACATGGTTGATAAAGAGTGTTTTCAAATAGAATTTCAGTTTCAAGAACAAAAAAATCCCAGAAACCTTGGGGCATGGCCGTTGTGACTTCAGGACCAATGGTTCACGCTGTGCACCCGGGCCTTCAAATCATCCGATGCATCCTCCTATGTGGAGTACAGTGCCCTGGCGACCGAGAAGATCTCGGAGTTCATGGCTATGGAGACCGTTCGCATCTTGTTTTTAAAACGGGTGGTTAAAATTTGGGCCACAAGAATTACTTGCTATGATTAGGTTATTAGGTGACAACTTATAAACAAAGGTTCTCATCCCGTTGTTTCCTTTAAAATTTGTTACCGAGTCATGGTGTTAAACAATTTTGATCTTTTCCAGTCAAATCAAATCTACTTTCAAAAGCCAAACCAGCCGGTACTCTAGGCAAAGCCAAGAAGGGTGATGCCTAGCTTGGAGCCTGTGACGGGCCTCGTGTGAGATCAGTTTTGGATCTGAGCAGGGCTTGCATACAGGTTTATGCATAGCATAATTGGGGCAGTGTGCATTAATCCTTGCCCGGTTAGCCTTTGGTCTCTTCACATCTTGAGGCGTATTTGAAATGTGGATTGAAACCTGCAAGTGTCTCCCTTGGCCCAACAAGTACTAAAAAGAGATTGCAAAAACAATTTGGAAGAATCGTCCAACCATTTTTTTATGTGTCACATTGGCTTGGGGGTCACTGCATCCAAAAGATTTGACTTAAATTTTCGTGAATCAAGATTGCCACGCGTGTTGGGTGGCTATTCCCGGGCACACCTGGCCTTGACTTGAAAAGGTCTCAAGGCGGAGCTCCTTAGAGTGATGTGCGGAAGTGATCAACAAAAGCTCCCTTGCATCAGATCATGTCTTGCCAACCTTGAGTATAATAGAAACACCACTCCTAAAGCAACAGCAAAAATCCTGGGTATTTAAAATTATTAAACCTTTCAAAAAATTGCTATTCCCTTTTTATGCCTTCATTCATCGCCAGGTGCTCAAGATCTATTTGATTGGATCGCTTTGCGTGAGGACCCTGGCATTACCATTGAAACTCAATGGAAATCATGGATTTCTATCTCCCAGGTTCAAACTTCTTATATCATATATTTTACTATACCCTTCTATAATTATAATCTATTGTAGTCACAGGTATACTATATTATATTTTAGTGTATACATATTATACTACACTATATATTCATTATACATAGCTGTCGCATGGGTACCTGCGCAGGACTTTGCGCCATGCCCACTGGACTACGCCGGGGCCAAACCTTTCTAGCCCGGTTTGGAGTTTATGATGAACGTAGCGCTGGCTTGATTGGGGTTGGATTCCTGCAAAATTCAAATTGAGGATATAGAAATCAAAAAGGCAGTTGGTGGATTGGATTTCGAACAACTAGAAGTTCAATCACGGGACTGAGGATCTGGCTCAAACTTAAGCAGCCAATGGTGTGATGACAATCACATTTGAAAAAGTTGATATGGCCTGCCGGCGCTTGCTGGCACTTGGGGCCCCAACTGATTCTTGGTTGAGGTTTGTTGTTTAAGTTATGGTGGTTGAAACTAACCAAGCCAAAACTTACCATCTATTCCATGCATGTGGAAATTTGATGAAATTTGCATTGGTCAGTTGTTCTTCACCAACAAGATCTGAAAAACATTGGTCTTGATTCTCAGGACTTCATTTACTTGGTTCTCATGGCTTGGTGGCTTAAGTCTTCAGGACTGTTCGCTTGGCATGACTGTGGGGAAGGTCTCGACGTTATCGAATTCTTTTCTGGGGTTGGCCGCATTGCCAAATTTGCTCATGCTAGAGGCTTTGAGTCTCGGGCCTACGATATAAACCATGATGATGCCCCAATCGGTGAGTCAACCCATTCGCAAATGCCCCGGAGATCGGCTTTCGATTTGAATGGTGAAGCTGGATTCTTGTAGCTAAGCTGATTTGGTTTCCATCCATTCCCCAAAACGAGTAGTGAAGGTTGTATTCCACTCAATATTATATGGGATTGTATGGGTCTAAATTGAAAGACATGGCAATCTAGCATCAACCCAGTCGCCCAGGTTGGCAATCATTATGATACTGCATGGCAAGTGGGGCTATCTGCTGACCACATGGGCCGTGGTCTGCAGCTCATGGTCTGTGGTGAACATAGGTACTAGCCAACGAAGCGAGCTTACACCATATGGAGACGTTCGAAACACCAAAGTGATTAGAGGAAACATCATGGTGAGCAGGACTGGTCTTGCTTTATAAATTTGTTTTGAAAACATGTTTGGTTCAGCCTGATCAGCTTATTGGTTCTGTTATGTTTTGTCCAGCCCCTTTGAGGTCTTTTGATACTTCTGGTTTATGTTCTCGAAGGTTGGTGGTGGCTTGAAAATCCCGAGTCCAGTTTGATCATCCTGCACCCACGCCTGCGTTGGTGCTTGCGAGCCATGCATCGAGGTGGAGCTTCTGCCCATTGCCCTGATTAGAAACGGTGAAATCGAATAAACACACTGCAGATCACTAATTACAGTAGTTGCAGTAATTGACTATCCTGTATTCTATGAATGGGTATCGGTATTGTTGTCCTCTTTATAGCGAAGCTTTGGAACACACTTGTGATCTGAGGTCCACAGGGTGTGCTTCAAGATGAAAGCCTTTGGGAGTGGGTCTATGAAGAGGACTATGATCCTTACCAATTGCGGGGCACTCTGGCGACTGAGTAAAAGACCAGTTCCAAAGGGTTCGAAGTCCAAAAGGTTGTGTCGTCACTACATCAATTCCAGTGGCAAAAAGGGATTTTCTGGCACAAAGGCTTTGAAACAATCACAGACTCTCACAAGACCAAGCAAGTATAATGTTTCTATGTATTTGTTTTGGTTTGTTTAATGTAATGTGTGTACCTGTGTCACCCAAACAACCCATAATGATTCATCATGGTTGGATTCTATCTTTGTGCATCCCAGGATTTATCCCGTGAAATTCGCCAGAACCATTGTGGATTGTATTCCTGCCATCCGTGCTCAAGAGAAACCGTCTCAGTTGGACGTGCCTAAACTCCGATTAATACCCTGGTAAAACTCCAATCAGACCCTATCAATTTTGGGGTTGGGAATTTCCACTACAAGTTCTCTTTGGGATTGAGAAATTCCACGCCCAGCTGAGGTGAACACTTCAGTGCCATTGCAAGAGGCGATGCTTGCAGCAGGGTGGACATCCTGGGATGAAACGGTCTTGGGTCCCTGCTTGAAATACATATGGGGGTCAACAAAGGCCAACATCATTCCTGAGGACTGGAAAGGCTTTGATGATGCAGCCAGAGCCAATTTTCCCTTAGGAAATTTTAGAGGGTTCAACTACCTCTGACATTCAAATATTTCTGAACTTTCCCATTTTGAGCCATTTTTGAAAGAGCGAAAAACCACGACGAAAGAGCGAAAAACCGCGACGAAAGAGCGAAAAAAAAAAGGTGTATTTTTATCATAATTTTCAACGTTTGAATTCCGGCAGAGGTGGGTAGTGAAACCCTTTGAAAATTCAACCCAATTAGTTTGCAACGTTTGCACGGCCGTGCTGGCTTGCCTGCAAAGCCGTGGAGGTGGTTGGATGCGATTGCCAGCTTTCCAGCTTTGAAAAAAAAACTTGAGCTGAAGGTGCTGTTCCAAACCAATGACCAAAACTCTTGACACTTCAAATCCAACATGTGGTGACAACACTGGTTGGACACAGTTTTCAATTCTATTTAGGCTTACAAGGGTGCTAGCAGCTAGTAGTAGCACAGTACAATGGCTGAACGCCTGCAGAGCAGACAATGGTCAACCGATACATTACTTCGGGGAGTTCAACATGTCGCTGGCCAACCTGGAGGGGAACTACTTCCAGATCGTGATGCAGACTTACTCTCTGAGCTTCAGGTCTGGTTGGAAATCTACTCACAACAACATACAACAACTTAGTGAGACAGAACTGCTTAGCAATTGCAATAAGTATAACACATATATATATATATATTATATATATATATTTATATTTATATTATTTTAATATATTTATATTATAAATATATATCTATAAATATATAGATCACTAGCAGTGTAAACATGCTGGACCCATTTCATAGAGAGAACCTGCTTTGAAATTTATATTGATGATTAGCAGTGTAAACATGCTGGACCCATTTCATAGAGAGAACCTTCTTGGTTGTTCAAACAAAATCTGAAATAAGAAATTGTATTGCTGGTTTCACATGTCATTGGTTGATTGCAATGCTTTCCATATCCCATACCCTCAAAAACACAACAACATTTGTCCAACATCTTGGATACCAACCCTTTCCAGGCTTTGAAGGAAGAGCTTACTGACTTAGATGTGGAAGTCTCCGATGCTATCATGCGGCAATCTGGACTTGATAAAGACCAACTTGGCCAACTTGGAGAGACCCCTACTGTCGGTAGGAACCCTGAGACGCCTGAGCCACCAGTGGCTGCCCCTGAAACAGCTGAGCAGGACACTGTGCCAGGGTCTCCATCAATCCTGGCTCCCATTGTTGATGTTCCTTCTACCTGGGCGGTCGACACATTCATTGATTTGGATTCTGATGTTGAGGTGCAGAGCAATGGAACCCTATGGTACGATGAAGTCACCACACCAAAGACTGGGCTGACGTTTAGCTCACCTGTTTCTAGGCAAACAAGTAATTATAGATTGGTCGTTGCAGGTGGCTAACTGTAGGTCCTGCCATTCAACATCTTTTATGATGATTTGTCATGCATCCCATTGTATCACTATTGCAGACACATAGTTTCATAGCCCCCTTTCAATTTACAGTATCAATAGCAGTTCTTTTACTTCATGTGCTGATGTTGTCACCTCACTTAGGTTCCATCACCTTCAGTCATGGCCACACCGCATGCAGAGCCACCAACGACTTCTTGCCAGAAGCCAGGCGAAGCTGATCTGAGGCCCCAGGCAACCAGACCCGTGCCAACACCTGCCCGTGCGGCATGTCAAGTTGACGCGGACAATGTACCGGTTCATGGGGATGAGACTGCTGAAAAACCCAAAGCTGGCCAACTTCGTTTGTCAGAGAATGCAGTCAATTTGAGACTTCTAAGAGTTTTGAAGCCAAACCCCAAGACTGGTGAGTTCCGGGTAAGTGAGAAGATTCGTACTATGTATGGGGACAAGAGGGGCAAAGGGAGAGGCAAACTGTTCCAGATCTTCCAAAGCTGCGGTTTCGACCCGGACAGGGGGGTGTCAAAACAACATAAAACAACTACTAACCCATCTAAGATCATCTGAGTTTGAATGCTTTTGCCCAACGGTAGCTCTTCATTATGGCTGGAATTCCAACATCTTAACACCCTGAAGGAAAGCTTCGTCATCGAATGTGAGCTCTACACGGAAGAGATCTTGTCACAAGAATTTGTGATTGAGGGTGAATATGTCTCGGAAACATGCATGCTGGAGCAATGGGGATGGACTACGTACTTTGGTTCCACATTGGGTTTAAGCAATCCCACACTACCCTGGAGAAACAATCATTTGTTTGTTTTTGGGTTGCTATATATCCCAATCGCCCAGTTCAACAACATCAAGAAAAGAATTCTTTGGAAATAACAATGAATTATTAAGATTAATTATGGTACCTATCACTGCCTGGCATTTCCCAGGCAGCGTGTGGAAGCTGTGAAGAAAGCTGCTGAAGCTGACCCTCCCAGGCTCATGAGGCCAGGAGTTCATTGAAAGAATTGACAGAACAATACTCAAGCAACTTAACTTCACTATCCAGGTTATTGTTCATTGCCCTTGGCAGGAAGGATCGCTATGAGAAAGGCCTGATTCTCTATTGGGCTGAAACGGCAGTGAAAGGCAAGTCAAAGTTCATTGGTTTATCTTGAATGGTTTGGTTTTCCAATGAAAACTAGGCATGTTGGTTTCCATGTGCTTTTGCCAACAAAATTAATTTGTAATCCTAATGTGGGGTTCAAAAATCTCAATCATCCCAGGTCCATCAGCACTTCTGGGTTGAAACGCAAAGCCCAGTGGTCCGAACAAGGGGTTGACTTTGGTTCCTTTGCCCAACCCGCCCTGGGCCAAGTCGGTGGCCTGCCTTGTCCATCAAAGATGAAGAGCATCAGCATGGATCCTGCATGTCACGGAGAACAGGGAAACCAAAAGATTTCCAAGGCGGAGAAAGCACCCCAGAAAGATCCAGGCTAGGAAAACATCTTTTTGAATGTTATGTTGGCAATTTCGGGTTAAATTTGTTTTTTAATTAATGTCTTTCATGTCCATGCTCCCAAAAGCTATCCCTTGAGGTGATGATGAATCGCAGGAATCTGAGTCTGATCAGCTTGACCCAGCTAAGCTTCGAAAAGAGGAAGCTGAGAAAGTCGCACGCAAACGAGCTGGCATCCCAGATTTGGATTTGGATGCTCTCCCCAGCACCGGTTGCACCAAGATGATGAACCTTTGTCCCAAACATTATACAGAATTTATACACCTTTAATCCCAAAATCTCCCAATTCTTTTAATAGTACATTCATACTTTCCTTAGGAAGTACACAGAATCTTTGATTCTCATAGTTCTTGCGGGTAGTTTGTTTCCAGCCCCTGCCATCAAGGACATGCTTGTCCAAGCGGCAACAAAAACTTCAAGATGGCATGGACAAGTTTACCGCAGCAGCGACACTGTCAACTCTACAGACGCAGTTTTTTGACTTCAATTATTCCAATAATCAACGACTACTTGTTTGAATCTAAAACTTCAAAAAATCATACCAATCCAGAAATGTGGATAGCGCACTATACCCAGACCAGCCGCCTCTCAGGATGAAAGACAAGCTGAATGCCGTGATTCAGGGCCTGCAGCGGAAGTACAGTGAGATTGATGAGAAGTACGCGGAGGGTGTGGTGAACGGGTTTTCGCCAGAGTCACAAACCCAGACATGTATTGAAATGAAACACGTATAGAAAATGAACACATGTATCGAAATCTATACATTCTGGTATTGAAATGAAACATGTATCGAAAACATAACATCGACGATATGTATAGCCTTGTTACACACTGGATTAGGTCAGAAGAAGCTCTCAAGACCATCTTCATTGAAACCAAGAAGCTGTCCTTCCCTCAGAAAAATTGATGGGTTCGTGCCAGAAAGGACAGACCACATAGACATGGTTTCATACTTTTTCTTTTCAAAATCGGGACGTTTAAATGATTTTTAAGTATATCAAGATTGTGTGGCACTAAGCTAAACCGTGATTTCTCAAAACAAACCTAATTCTGTCAAACATGCTTCTCTGAGGGCCATGGAAGCTGTATCGCTTGAAGCCCGGATGAGGCAAGGGTTCCCTCAAATCTATTGTATTTGTTAAATTCCCTGCTCCTGCCAGGACAGTTGTGCCCAAAGCAGGCGCCGCCGCCAAACCGAAAGTGCCCAGACAGAGTGGACGAGCTAAGGCCAAGGCCAAGGCTCATCCAAAAGCAGAGCCCAAGGCTCCTGCTGCTCCCAAACGCCGTGCTGCAAAGGCCTAAGAGTTTGTGTGTCTCTGTTCGGTTAGCTGCAATGCTGCCCTAACGTTTTCCGATGTCATACTGTGACAAGAACGGTTGCCTTTCAACTTTTAAACTGTGTTTCTTTGTTGAGTGGTTTTCACCGCTTGAAGTGGCAGCAACTTTGGGGTTGCCATAGACCTATGTGAAATCATTGGTCCATTGGCTATACATTGCCAAATGGGTACTCAGCCATGTGGAGCAAGATGGGAAAACAATTTTGCGGCTCCTGAATTTCAAGTTGAAGTATGTTCCAGTATGTTCCAGTCTAGCGTGTGCAGAACAGCAGCAACAAGAACTGTCTTTTAGAGTTTCTTTGTTCTGAGGCTGAACATAATTTGAAATGCCAGGCTAGACGGAAGAGAAACCTTCTCAACATGGCTATCTCATGGAGGCTTTTGCGGAAGCCGTTGCTGATGGAGTCCGGTTCCCATACTTAAGCTTGTGGTCATGGTATTATTACACAATGGATTGGTGACCAATGTTGACAATGAGGATGACGATGATAGTAATTACCAAATGATCCTTTGATAATTGTAGTGGGGAATCGTTCAATGTAAAACCTGATATGGGCAAGCATTTCTCAACTGCAAGCCTCATCCGCCTGAGGTCCCAGCAGTGGTCACCGAGCGGCTCCGTCAAGGTGCCATGTGCGACCAAGGCCATCAAGGTCCACCCAAAACAACTTCTAATGTAGCCCGAAATGCTTATCGTGCGATTCGCCGCACTGGCTTGTCATGGAAGATACCCATAGAGGAGTATGACTACAAGAAGCTTGATGGGTCATACCTGACTACCCACTACCTACGACCAATGAAAATTGTGGAATACTTGCTTGACAAAAAGCCGTTGCTGGTGTGTGGGGAGTCTGACACTGAAAAGGTGAAGGGCATTTTTGGTGCCTTTTGGGATGCCTACCGGAGTTACCATGGTACCCACGAAGTGTACCAACGCCATTCTGGAAACTTGGATCGAGTGGTCCCATTGGCAATCCATGGTGATGAGGGGAAAGGCAAACGCAGGTCATCCACTACATTGGTCACGCTGGAAGCAGTCATAGGCTGCAAAGGCGAAACCAGATTGTGCACTGAGTGTGAGCCGCGTGGCCTTTATCCTGAACAATGGGGACCCAGAGGTGACGATCAACATTTAGTGGCCAAGGCCATGCGGACAAATATGAAGGGTCACTCATATTTGCAACATTGGCCCTTGTTTGTCGTTCCAGGTATCCTGAACAAGAACTACAAGCCGCTCACTTACGAGCTACTGGATGTTGTGGCAGCAGATTTGGAAAAACTGTTCACCACTGGAGTGCAGGTGAGAGGAGAGACTTGGTATGGCGCCGTGATTGGTGCCAAGGGCGATTTGAAGTGGCATTCCAAGGTTGCCCGGTTGGTCCGGGGGTTTGAGCACCAGGGGAGACAGAGGGACATCCCAATGTGCCATTGGTGCATGGCTGGCAGTCCTGGTGTCCCGGCTGAGGATGTAGCTCGCCATCATCCATGTTGGGAACAAACACTGTGGGCACAGCGACCGTGGTCTTCTTCAAGCCCTCCTGGTCTTTTGGTGGTGCCGTTTGATCAAAGGTTCCCAGAGAAATTTTATCAGCACGATCCATTTCATACACTGCGCATTGGTCTCTACAGAGATTTTGTTGGGAGCGTCATCTTCCTCTACATGTCCTGGAACTTGTTCGATGGCGGATCTGTGCCAACAAAGCTGGAAGCAGCGTGGTCGAGTTTCTGCTTATGGCAAAGGGGGGTCCAGAAAAGTGCTTCGCTTCGTTCTTTTTCCAAGGCCTTGTTCAACTACAAGACCAAGAAGTCATACCCTTGGATCAATGCCAAAGGCAGTGATGTCACATTGTGCTTGAAATGGATCTCTGTGATTACCTATGGTTTCGTGCAAACATGCACCGACAACGACCAGCTGCAGATTCTGAACATCATCTTGAGCGCTTCTCAAGCTGCAGTTGGGTTTTTCGATTGCATGAACCAGCATCGGCTTTGGATGAGCACTGCATGTGCTATTTCCCTTTATGAGCTTGGCCATTTTTTTTTGGTTGGTTATGGCTGGTTGGCTGGATGGGCCTATCGAAACCAGTTCTGTTTGTTTTCGGTTAAACCGAAAGCACATTTTTTTCGTCATATCCTTTTAGAGTTGCTGGCTCAGCTAGAGGCAAATACCCAAGTAGTGTTGAACCCTCTTACTTGGAACTGTGAGCAAAATGAGGACATGATTGGGCGTATCAGTTCTTTAACCGTCAAACTTGACAGCAGGGTTTCTACCAGACGTGTTCTGGAATTTTGGATGGTAAAATCTGCCATCCTATACAAACGGCATTTTGGTTTGCAGTGAGGACCAATAGCTACTGCATAGTGATTGCATAGTGAAGTACTTGGTTTTCTCTACATATATCAAAAAAAGTTCTTTAGTCTAATGAGGGCATCCTCACATTGAGCAAACTCAATTACAAGCTGAAGCCATGAGAGATGGGGAAGCGGCGCTGGAAAAAAAGGAGAACCCATGAGAGAGCGATAATTCTATGAACGAACGATATTCAAGGCTGGCGGCGATATAAAGTGTTGGTTCAAAGTGGGAGCGTTTATTTTACACTAGTGGGTTTCTCAGGTATACCGTTATTATTGTCCATTATTTCCTTTTGTGAATTCCCGTGTTCCTTCTCGAGTTTGCGTACAGGTGAAACTGGATCGGGGCATGGCATGCTGGAGTTTTCCAGGGATTTGTTGAATTGTTAGTAGAAATTGGTGGGATTCAGAAACCTAGTTTAGATGTTTAGAGTCTATTTTGCCAGCCACATTTCTTAGCCCAAGGGTCATGGTTAAGAAACATGTTGTACTCTAACCCCAAAATACTCGGATTTCTTATCACACGCCTCAGCCGTAGATCGACTGGTGCAGGGTTGTTTTTTCTGGAAGTTTATGTTTTTGTGACATCAATATGTTTCACATGATCTCCATGTGATCTGTTCAGAGTTACAGATGGCTCCCTGAAGGTAAAGGCACGCTGCACCTCCACACATGGCAACACTACACGGTGTCCTTGGTCTTCTGGTTCCGTCGGACGTCTAACCCGTCGCCGGTGCTGCCCAGAAGTCAAATGCCCTTGTGGCTGGGAGGCAGGGCCGTATAGGGCAGGGCGGCCCATATCGACCTTGAATAAGCAATGTCAACAGAATGGTAGTGGCCTCGCAACTGTGTTTGTGTGAAGACAAGATACCTATAGAATTTACGTTAGTTTATTGGATCATCATCTTGTTTCCCATTCTTCACTGGTGGTAAATCTCTTATTTTCATCCGCATTGAAACCCCCAGTAAATGGATGTAAATGGTATGTTTGGTGTATACCCATGAATTCAGTCGTGTATCATCATTTTGTCCCGTTTACATTGGATTAAATATGCATTTTTTGGATGAACTGTCAGTTTGTCAGAGTTGTTGGGGCACCTCTTTTATATAGGATGATCATGGAATCATGGTCGTTTTCTCGGATGTTTCTCATGGGAAACCTGCATGATCACCAGTTGTTCCTGATTTAGTTCGATGATTTTCCCAGTTGTAAGCATCCATGTTGATCGGGAAAGTCCCAGCCACGTTTGATGACACAATAGGCTATATCAATTATCATCATATATCGTATATATATATATATACACCACATATAATATATATATATATAGTATATTATATATGTAATATATCAATTATCACATATATATGTATATACATGTTTACTATTACCCCATGATTACTGTATCATATGAAACCTTTTTTTAACCCCTGCTGCGCAGCGCAGGCCCCTTCGATCTCAGCTACAACCCCTTGCATCAGCCGGTGACCTTTGAGCTGCCCCCAGCGACCCAGCGAGTCACCTTGAGCGCATTGATCACAGGTGAGGAGCACAAAAATGGAGAGATTTTCACCGCTTACCATCGGAGTGATTTGGGATTTTGAAGGGTATGCATGGATTTTAATGGATTTTTTTTTTTTTAATGGGATGTTTGAAGATTTTATGGGATTTCGATGGATCGAGTTTTGTGGATGTTTCATGGATTTTACCTCTTACACTGGGTTTTAAGATTGGTTTTTGATGGGTTTTGCTTGAGCATCAGGCCACGGATGGGGCGTAGATGAAGACAACTGCGCAGAGTTCTGCGACCATTCCCATCATTTCTCCGTGAATGGCGTCACCACTGGGCTGACGAAAGCGCATCCGACTGCGGGCAACCAGGATGGGTGCAAGACAAAGGCCGACCCGCAGATGTTGAGTTTGTTGTTTGAGTACCTTCCGCTATTCAAACATGCATAAAATGGACATTGCCGTGTATAAAGGACATTGCCATTTTTGATTATGTTTGATGACCGGATGGTAAACCAATCTATTTCGGGGTACCATTGGTACCATTTTGATATGGTGGAAGAATTCTGGTGCGGCAAGCACCCCTCACAAAGGTTGTACCCCTCATCATAAGTTTTTATGGAGGGCTTATTGACCACCAACAACCACTGAAAAGATCTACTAAGGGCCTATTGGTATCTAGTAACCATCTATACCCTCCCGTAGTTGTTCAGAGACCTATGGAAGATCAGTCTGTTTCCGCCATTTTCCATAGCTCTGCACCAAATTACCAGAAGGAAAACATGTTTGCCGCGCGGTTTCTTGGCGCTGATTTTCTTTGGGCTGCCGGTCAGCCCAGGTGTTTTTAGGAGTCGTGCCCAATCAATATGGCACCTGGCCCTTCGGACGTGCTGGCTGGTGTCCGGGGCAACACGTGGACTGGTGGGAGGTCGACGTGACGCAATGGTCACTTGCCGATTTGCAGATGATTACCCTCTGGTAAACTAACATAACTATAGAAAATCACTATTTGTCATGGGAAAATCCACTATATTACCAGAGGGTAGCAGATGTTGTTTCTGGAGGGTCGATGATGTCGATGATGTCGATGATGTCGATGATGTCGATGGCCTTGAGCGACGCCGAATATATACAAGTTTAGATAGTCTAAATGTGGTATTTCACCAAATGCACAAACCATCCCCAAATGTCGTCACCATTTTGATGGGTGGTCTAAACCATGCCCAAATGTTCAAATGGTACTTCATGGTTGGGTTGCCCACATTACATGATTTTGATGAAAAAAAACCTCGTTGTTTTTTTTGATATCGTGTTTTCTCCCCACTTTTGATTGACTTTCTACGAGGCACCCTGCTCCCACCAACATCCATCAGCCTAATGGCTGTCCCTTTGATGTACTTCGACTTCAGTGCAGTAAGTCCCCTGAAAAGGATCTTCATTAAGCTCCACCCAACCAAACATTGGTTCAAGAAGATGTCCACATGTTTTGGAGGAACTTTCAACAGCTTTGACCAAGATTTCTTGGTTAGTTTGGGAGATGACAAAGCCACTGCAGGGCGTGATGGTTTGTTTATGAGGTATTCTAAGCTTCTCGATGGTTTTGTGGAGAATTGATGGGTTGATGATGGTACCCTCTAGTAAATTAACATAGACCCTGCCAGATAGGGGCTGGAAGATGTTTCCACTAAAAAGATATCAAACTACGGGCGATTTTCAGGGTCCAACTGTTCATTTTCCAGATGATAATTAATATTATCCATAAACATATTATCATAATTTATATTGATTCATGATATGTGTTTTTTCCATATAGAAATATTACCCATAGATATACAGTATCTATAGATCATATTATTTTTTTATCCATAGATATTCCCAACCCAAATCAGCCAGGTTGCAGGAGGGCTCCAACACCCTGACCTACCACGCCTACTTCAACGGCACGGACTACGAGCCCCAGCCCGGCGGCTTGGAGGATGACCTGGGCTTCCCAGCAGAGATTCACCTGGCCTCGGTGCTCACCTTCTATTCGGAGGAGGGGTACCATGGAGCTGGAGATGAGTCTTTTAATGCGTTTTTTTTTTAAATAAGAAGGGGTATGTATGTATTTGTATATATATATATAATACAATTATAGGTATATATTTAATACATGCGCAACATGGCTTTTGTTTTTGTTTTTTGTTTTTTTAATGGGTATAATATAAAACTATAAATATGTATATGTATATATACACAATATGTTTTTTTTGTTTGTTTAATGGTATATATATATTAATATATACTTATAAATATGTGAATATGTATATATATATATATACATAGGGTCCCCCAAAAAAATATGACCGTATCATTGGAGCTGTTTTTTTTTTTCCGGGATATATATATATATAATTAGTAAACTTCTCAAAAAGACAATAGTAAAGTCTGATCTAGCAAAACAACATGTCTTTGTACGTTGCCCTCTTGTAAACATGCAAAAAGATGCGGACAACTCAACATTTGCTTTGATATAAATATAATAACCCCTCAAAAAGATAGAACACGTTGAATTTACCATATTGTAGAATTTTACTTACTGTTCTATCTTTTTGTTTTGTACTTCTCAGTGCATGTTTCTAATAAATCATGCTTAGGCAAATATAACAATAATTATATATATACTGTACATGCATATGCGATAAATATGCACATGCAATATATCATTGGACGCATATATACTAGATCAATTGAAATTAACCAGATAATACAGTATATGACAACAATGTTGGTTCATTTCTGTTGATGTTTTTGGATCACGTATTTGTTTGTTCTTGTCATGTGTTCATTTGGGGAAACAAACAGTGGAATATATGTGTGTTTGTTTGAACAATTACAGTATGGGGCACCAGGATGTTCCCCAATTTTTGCAGAAGACCGCTTCGCATGATAAGTTCCATTTCTTTCACTTTTTTGCCGCTTGAATCTCCAATTGATCCTCATTTCTCCCGGTTTTCCTCGTCATTTTCAGTTGGTCACTGGAGTGTAGCCATCATTGTAACTCATAACCCACTAAAAGTATCTAAAAGTATAAAACACACATCATTCTAGTTAAAATTAACTCTGGAAAGTCATAACCCACTAAGTCAGAATTCTTCCCATCCATCCCAAAGCCATCCAAGGCACCAACAGCCGGTCGAGCTAAAGCTGAAGCCGCTTCAGCCCTTGGAGAATTCGCGACGTTCGGTTGCTTGGTCTCGATTTCACCAATGGTGGAACCCAGGAAACTGGGACACATAGATGTCCCAAATTCCCATTGGCTGATGAAAAAAGAGGGGGTTGGAGAAAGCCAACAGAAAAAGAACGGGTTTCTATGATGACAGATGGTATACCAGCTCCCGGCCCCTCTATTTTTACCAAAAGGACATTATTGATGGGACAATAATGAAGAAACAATCTGCTTTGAACCCAGGAATGTACTCACCAAACATGTTGAGTTTGTTGCAGCGCAACATTTATATATAGGGACTTGACTGAGTCAAGCATCACGGTTGGGTCATGGTGACTTCTTTGCCGGCACCGTGCACTGCCGGTTTGAGATGCATTGACGTAGATGCAAACACCTTTCTTGTTGGCTGTGGTTGTTGGTTCTTGGGCTAGCACTGCAGTCACAAACTTACATGATTTATTTTACAATTGATTTTTCGGCTTAAGCCATGAGTTTGGATACATATCTTTAATATAGTCTAATGTAATATAACAACCTCACTGCGATCCTAAATAACCTTGTTTCAGGTTATTGTGAATGATTACAGATGATATAGATGATATAGTATATTACAGTATCATATATCCAGATGTGTATGGGTGAGATGATCCCAATTCCCAGGCTTTCAAGGAACTTTGAAGCGCCAGTCAGAGAAGTTTAATACCTCCACAGTGCCCAGGTTCTTTTTCCTTAGCATGGTGCGGTTGCCCTGGTGCGATGGCGAAGATAGGCCCTGGCAGCAGGCAGCACCAGCACAGGTCAGATGCGCCTGACAAATTCACATCAGTGGCTGGTGGTTTCAGAATGTTTCAGACGTCTTGTGACATGTTTATCCCATATCCCAACAATGGGATGACTGGAGCCCCAATTCCCCAACTTCAACTTGCAGATTTTCGGGGAACAAAAACCACCGACCAGCTGGAATTTGATTTTGAACCGTTGCGGTTTGAATTCAGTAGTACATGAGCATGTCGAACAATGCGAGATGCTCCGTTCTTTTCCAGCCAAATGGCTGCTTGCCGTTTGAATCGCTGCACCAGCACTTGGAAACATGGAGTGTACCTCACTCAGAATTGTTGAGACCTCCCCCACGTTGGGGAGTCTCAGATGGTGAGGCCATGTCCAGTCGCGGCCGTGTGTCAGTTCAATGTAGCCCTTGGCTGAGCATGGCACGGTTGAAGGCTTTGATGGTCTCAGAAAATTGTGGACCAACTGATTTGGGATGACAGAAAGATGCCACGGTCGGCATTTCGGGGGTGAAGTGCCCATTTCTTGTTTTTGGTTTCCCATGTTTTTATGCTTCCTTCCAACAACCTTCATGGAGGAGCAATAATCCTTTCCCCCTAATACTAAACGTCCCCCCCAAATGATAAACACGTCAGGTAGTTTTTATTATTTGGGGGGTATTGGTTATTAGGGAACCCTAATCATAAATTAAAGCCCTTAATAAAAAAAAAGATTTCTAAATTAATTAAATTTCCTTTTATAAGGCAGTTAAAATATTGCCAAGAATTGGATTTCGAAGTGGACCGTATTAATAAATTTAAACCCTTAATATGTTTTTTTTTCGATTTCAAAATTAATTCAATTTCCTACTATAACGCAATTAAAATATTGCCAAAAATTGGATCTAATATAAAAAACTAAAATTTTCACGGACCCTAATAATAAACACCCCGGAATTAACTAGTTTGTATTATTAGGGGGCGAAACCCACAAATGGTAGCTTTATTGTTAAATTGTTTTCTAAAGGGGATCAATTAAAAGTTAAATTGGCAAACCTGAAATTTTCCAAAATTAGAGATGGACCCTAGTTTTTATTCGGGTTGGTTTAGTAATAGGGGGAAGGGATTAACAGACCATGACAAACCCCCTAACTTTTCCTGCGGCTTCTCAGCATTGTGGCACTAGAGTCTAGAGAGTTGCTAATGTGTTTCCTTTAATTAGCAAGAAACATAAGAAGTACACGAAACACAAAAATGTCTCGCAACGAAGATACATACGATATCATACTATCATCAACATTCATCAACCGGTTCTTGACACCTCAACAAATGGAGTTTATCAGTTATACTTCTCCCTATGAGGTGGTAACCCTGGTTGACCAGCAGAGCGAAGGATTTGGGGCACCACCGGGCACTACCGCAGGTGGTTGCGGGCGGGCACCTAGTCCAGAGCTCAGGAGGATTGCAGAAATGCCTTGAAGGGGTTCACGTGGGGAGTAGATTCCGTCATATCACCATCACTGGTGTTTGAACCCCCGAAGTGTCCCTTCTGTAGTTGATCTATCCATTGTACTTGAAACGTATTTAGATGTATTTAGGTATGTGGCTCAAATTTCGTCCAAATCGGAATGGTTCTATCAATTGGGGGGTTACCCCAAAATAGTGATAAATGGTTAACTGAAACGGTATCCCCATGTTAATATACCTGCGCTTGATTAATCCCGGCTTAACATTTGCCAGTAATATACTCCGAAACATGTCAATCCATTTGTGGTCGAAGCCCGGTGTCTACGAGTTTCTCTCTGAAATCCAGTTGATTGGCGAACAAAAATACTGGCAAATGTTGAGCCGGGATTAATCAAGCGCAGGTATATTAACATGGGGGTACCATTTCAAACAACCGTTTATCACTATTTTGGGGTAACCCCCCCAATTGATAGTCAGGGTTTACAAATTCATTCTCTGCCCTGGTTTTCATCACCGTTTCATTAAATCATCATTTCAAACTATGTGTGTTTTTCATGTTTTTCTTAGTTGTACCCTCTGGTAAACTAACATAACTATGGAAAATCATCATTTTCAATGGGTAAATCCACTATAAATGGTCATTTTCAATAGCTATGTTAAATTACTAGAGGGTACATGGTCAAATCAACATTTTCCATGAAAGAAAAGCTGCCGAAAACCCGCCGCATTTTCTTATGATCCTCCAAGATCCTCCGCAGCTGCCCAGTATGCTTCGCTCCCTCAGCAAGCTTCCTTTGGGCGCCCGGCCATGGGCGCCCCAAGCGCGGCATGTGGCAGTGTTGCGGCATGACTGGACGCGGGCAGAGGTATGGGGGGTTGGGGGGGTCCAGAAAATTCGCATGAAAATTCTGGAGAGAACATACCCAAACAATTTTTGGCTGGCGAATCAATTCCCAAGCTACTAATTCGGGTGAAAACATTCCGTTGTTCTTTGCCACTATCTTTTTGATTGTTAGTTTAACATATACCCAGGGTTAGAAAGTATAAGCCAGTTCCTGGAGTCACCGCTTCTGACATGGCACCAAGAATGGGATTTAATGATAGAATTTCAATCAACAAACATGAGGCTATCAGATAGAATATATAGAATGGCCTTTGATGCCTTTGCCTAGATGCATCAGAGCATTTTATGCGGCTGATGAAAAACTCTAAGACTCTAAGCTTTCACGTGTTCCGAACGGTCATCAACCATCGGCATTCCTGCCTAGAAAATGCAGATATCACCAGCAGTTCAAACATTTTTCTCGGATGCTTTGGCCACGCAGGTGGCCGAGATCTATCATCAGCTCCTTGGTTTTTAGCAATCCATGAGGGGACCCGTGGGATGTAGGCAATCCTGTGCTGCGCCTAGCACTGAGTGATGCTTTTGAATATATCCCCTTGAAGGGCAAGACTTTACAGTTTGCATTGGATACATTTCAATCCTTCATGCAATCACACATAGTTTGGTTTTTCAAAGATGGTGTGCCAAGAATACCAGTGGGTTTCGGGCCAATTCACACTAGCCTCTACAATTTCAAGGGCTGCCGTGACTTTTCAGGATTCAATCTGTCAATGCCATGTTTCACCGAAGCTGTTCATAGTTAGAACCGGGTTTCCAAGCGCAGCTCTTTATTTTCCTTGCTCGTCAGCTAACACCCATCTAGAGAGTGATGGGATTCAGGCCATGATGCCATATCATTTTTTTAAGGTTCATGCCATGATCGATCATTAGATGGGCTCATAGGTAGAACCATCTAGAACCATCTATTATGTCTAGAACCATCTAGAACCATCTACCCCCTGGTAATTTAACATAACTATGGAAAATCACCATTTACTTCGTGGATTTTCCCATTAATAGCATGGTGGATCTTTCCATAGTTATGTCAACGTTTACCAGCAAGTAGAACCCTTTTGTCGCTGCCCATTGTGGTTTAGGCAGCTCCTCAGGACGACTCGAACCCAACAAAACCCAGCCGCCCCAAGGCCTCTGTTGGAGTTGGTCTACCAAGCAGCCGCTGTGCATCGCAGCGGTTTCTTCGATTCCAAGGAAGTGCAGCAGAGCAGCTTCGATTTCTGGATGTTTCGGGATGATCGATGACAATGTCAAGCCCGGATGAGACTAAACCATGGTTTATTAATGTTTATTAATTAGGGGGGGTTACTCCTCCAATAGTCATAATCCAATAGTCCTTTTATAGTGATTCAATGGGATTTTATAGTGATTCAATAGGGATATTAATGGAACTTACCCTCTGGTAATTTAACAGTTTGCTATTGAAAATGGCCATAGAAATAGTGGATTTTCCCATTGATAGCATGGTGGATCTTTCCATAGCTATGTTAAATTACCAGAGGGTAAACCATGGTTAAATGGTACCCCCCCAATGAACCAGCCGTAAACGGGGTTTATTAATCCAGGGTTGACATTAATCAATTATGATCAATTTCATATTTTTGAATGTGCATCGAACAGCGGCAAATGATTGGGTTGAAGATGCGGAGCTGTCCATGTTTGACCTGCAAGAACCATGGCGATGTTTTTTTTTTGAATACCTATTGCGCCCTATTGCAATCAGTAATAAGTAAACATGTTAACAACAACTGGTAAACAACTGGTAAACAACGGGTAAACATGTTAACAACACATGGTTATATATTTGTTGTCGACCAAATCTTGCCCAAAAAGAGGAGTTTGAGCTGGCCAACAAACCTAGGATTGCCCCTGCTATGATTCCCGGATTCCATGGAGATTGTGGCCATACACCTAGCAAGGTCCCCTTCAAATGTGTTGCATCGTCATTTCCCGCCTCAAATTTCATTAGTCTACCATGGCCTACCATCCATTTTTTTCAAGCAGATGTTGAATGATGTTGACCATGTTGATGGGTACCTCTCTGGTAAAAATGAAACACGAATCTATTGAAGATGGCATATCATTTGAGCAGACGTTTCTGGGGATAGATTTCTTCACCTGAAATACCATGAATCTATCCATATGTGGGGTTTTTTACATCCATAAATACCAGCTATTTTAAGCGACAGTCCATTGATTCCATGGGTTTTCACTGATCCGCTTTCCAATTTTCCAATCTCCTGGCTGTGGCTTCGCTACAAACGTTGGCCGTGCGCCATCAAGGCACCCTTTTGTCCATCAAAACCGGCGGCTGCGGAGAAAATTGCGCCTGGGCGCCAGGTTTTGACGTGGCCAGGTTTTGCGGCAGGCCATCAGCCAGAGAAGACCCTGGCAGATAGGGGTTGGAAGACTAGTTTCCATTAAAAATTGGTGATTTTCAGGGTCTATGTTAATTTACTGGAGGGTAAATCAGATGGAGAAATGGTGTATATAAGCGGGAAAGAAATTGGATGAAATCAGGAAAGAACAGTTGAAGTCTTTGAGATGGCAATCAAGGTCGACACTTGGGATTCAATCAACGGCCTGTTGGCATAGCATGTTTTTTGATGGCTATAGGCAAGGGAAAGGACGGGATCTCCCGGTTTCCCCTAGGTCGTTGGAATGATCTTGGGACCCAGAAATCGGATGTGTTCGACATGGTCAAAACCACTTCAACTCAGAATATGAGGAATCTGACTGTGGTAAAACCAACAATATCCAACCATAAACCTCCAGTTTTGGAGGATTTATACCATGAAAGTCGTGATTTTGCTGGATGGTTTATGGATGTTTATGGCAATTGGCTACATCTCCCAGTTGGACCTTGGGCCGAGGTGGCTACTGCTCCCAGAGCCAGAGCTTCAAGACCGCGGTGAAGCCCACACCGATGATGAAAGTGGAACCTCCGACGCAGCAGGGTGCAATCTTGGCCATGGCCATTCAACTTACTGGTGCGTTTTACGTAGGGAAATGTAGGGAATGACCCATAGAAATAGATGGTTTACCTGGGTTTAGGTTTAGCTATTAAAACTGGTGATTTTCTTACTGGTGCTAAACGTAGGGAATGGATGGGTTGCTGGGGTTGCACCAGTAAGTCAACCTCCTCCCAAAAAAACATGATTTGGCCGCAAAATATGGGTGTAGCTCTGCAGTCCTTGGGAGGATTGGAGTGCCCAAACTTGGTGGTAACACACACGGTCTTGAGCCCAGCTTCACAAGAACTCGTAGTGTAAGATGAGTTGTGCCATTCCTTCAAGAGTTGGCTTCCTGTAACCTCACAACCCTGGGGGCTGATGAGAATGATGAAACCCTCTTTAGGGCCATGGAGTTAGTTGTCTACTGTAGTTATATAGTTAGTGGTAATATGTTATGTTATAAAACAAATTTTATATAAGCTTTTGGGACATTGTGCGCTTAGCTAACTCCACGGCCCCAAATATTATCGTTTCGCCCTTTCCAGTTCCAAGATGTTATATGTTGCAAGCCATAAGTGTTATCTAACACTTTGGTTTATAACCCATAACTAAAGTACAGCTATCTATATATTATTTTTTATAGTTATCATAATTATCTGTAAGGGTTTATTATAAACCATGACTCAAGTATCACATTGTATAGCTACCAATCATGTCCACATCTACCCCTTTTTATCACTAACTATATATATATATATATCTGTTGTCATATATATATATATATATATCCAGCATTAAAACATCCCCATCCCCAAAAACGTTTCAGGACGAGGTGTTGGAGGCGGCGCGCAAGGCCAAGGACGCGGGCTCCACGCGCTTCTGCATGGGCACCGCCTGGCGGGGAGTGGGGCAGAAGAACTCCTTCCAACACATCCTCACCATGGTGAAGGAAGCGTCGGGGATGTTGACATGGGAAAAATACCCTCTGGTAATTTAACATAGCTATTGAAAATGGCCATTTATAGTTAGTTTTCCCATTGAAAATGGTGATTTTCAATAGCTATGTTAAATTACCAGAGGGTAATATGGGACGAGGAAAATGGTGGTGAAGGAAGTGGGGCTTTCTAGATGGGATCTATGATTTAGATGTTTTTTAAAACTCTATAGATATCTATAGGTTGGGGTCTGGGATCTATGATTTTTGAAACTGTAGATGTTTGTAGATTAAGGTTTTGCAGCAGATAAGGGATCTTTGGACAATCTTTGGAAATTGATTCTAGGTCCTTGGTGATTTAATTGTACCCCTGATTGTGTGACGGTTTTTTTCCTACAGTTATTTCTATATCTATTTTATCTATGTTTCAGAAGGAATCAAGGTAGGTGGCCTTGGTTTTTTTGGGGGTGAAATTTATCCCAAAAGAAATAGTACTGGGTTAGTGTCCCTTGGATTTTTACCTATTATGATTCTTATCCATACAGATAGTTTCTGTGGGAACCCAAACTAAATTCTAATACCGATAACTGTGATATTTAGTTCTGGGTTGGCTTAAGGATGCACAGGGTTACTTTTGGGTCATGGGATGTCATGGGTATATATTATATACTCTTCCATTGTTGGACCAATGGGCTGCGATGGATTTGGGGTCGACCCAAAAGTCATAATGAAGGACCCCGAATTGACTGCGGAAAAAATCATGGTAGAATGTAATAGTAAAGCTGTTTCCTAAGTCCACATACAAACTTCTGCACCCTGACATCGGCAAAAAAAATAACTAAATCCCAGGGTACAACCTCTGTATTGCCTAAGTCTAGGTGCAGAAATCTGCACCTTGACTTAGGCAATACCCCACCAAGCACCTAGGATATCGTCATTTTTGTTGCCTAAGGCAAGGTGCAGATTTCTGTACCCTGAGTTCGGCAAAATCCATAATTGGACATTGTATTTAAAGGATATATGATGATATATGATATAGACGTAGAAATAATGGGGAAATTAAGAAAAACGTGATCATCAGGGATAGTCTTGGTGGTTTTATACCAGAGGTATATTAGGGGATACCACGCTAGAAGAAACATGAGCGTGGTTGAAACAAATAGATCCATCATGGGATGATACCCATTTCTTTTTAATCCAGCAATTGATTGGGTACCCCATAAGGGAAATAGTAGTGGAGCCCTGTTTATCCGATGCACATGATAGAAAAAATATTATGTAACCGATACTGGGATGATACCCATTTAATCAACGAGTGAAAATAATAGTGGACCTGTGTTTATCCATGAGCATGGTAAAGGGCAAATAGATACATTATATAACATATATATATAACCGATGGTAAGATGATACCCATTTAGTCAACGAATCCGTTACATCATAAGGGAAATATAATGTACCTATGATGATACACTTTTACTCCACCAGATATATGATATTTAGAAAAAACCAAGAATCCATTGCCACAACCCCCAGATCAGTTTCAAAACTGTTTCTTTTTAACCTTAGATTATATAGCAGTATGTTCACAATCCGTTACACATGTTTGATGGTGAAATAAACCAGAGACATGAGTTGACATGGGGAAAATGGTGAGGAAAAAAGGCGATTTTGTGCGGTTTTTTGACATGGGTTTCATGGGATTTAAGAATGAACAATTCGGATAATCATTCTTTTGGATCTATGAGAATTACCATGGTCAAGGAAGCTGAGGGGGAATTAGTGTGGGTCAAGAGCAGGAAGCTCTTGGAAGAGTTAAACAATTTCTCACTGGTTTGGTTGAAGGGAAAACCTACGGCAAGCCATACTTTGACTACATTGCCACATAAGATCAAATCTGGGGTTGAGGCTGATGTGTTTCCATCAGAACAAAGAATCCGGGGGGTGTCTCAACGAAGGTTCAGAGGGAAATACGTTTTTGCAGTGGTTTGGAGGGACCATATCATTATTCATCCTTACATGAATCTACCATTGTGGCCTATGATTATTCTAGATTCTAGAAGATTATCTATCCTTCTTCATCCACATCATTAGAGACATCATATTGTACAATTATATACCCTCTGGTAAACTAACATAGCCATGGAACATCACCATTTTTAATGGGAAAACTCACAATAAATGGCCATTTTCAATAGCTATTTTGACATAACCAGAGGGTAATTCCATGAAAAAAACACATTTTCCCAACTCACTCACAACCTTATGTATCTTATGTTCCCTAGGAATTCCCTAATACGGCGCATATCTCCCCATCTCCAACTGCCATGGCCCATGGCCCATGGCCCAGGAGGTGTCGTCCATGGGCATGGAGACCTGCTGCACCTTGGGTTTGCTGAACGCGGAGCGGGCCAAGCAACTCAAGGAGGCCGGCCTCACTGTGCCCTGGCGCTCAAGCTGCGGACTGCGGAGGCAGAGCGCAGAGCTGATCTAGGAATCTAGGATCAATGATGGTTGTGCGGTTAGCTAACTGTTCATTAGATGTCAGCGCCTAGCTTAGAAGAAAATGACTATATCTTGGATTAATATGGATTAATAAGTCGCAAACTAGATAGTTAACTAGCTCCACAGCCTGTCCAAGCCTGACAGATATGACAGTGAAATGGATGTTTGATGATGTTTGATGATGTTTGATTATGGTTCGTGATGTTTTTTCTGATTTCTGGTGATGCTTGATGAGGTTTGATGAGGTGTTTGATGACATTTGATGTATTTGTCGGTGATGTCTGATGTTTGATGATTAGAAATCCGACAGGTCATGAAATCAATAGAATCTGGAGGTGGGGACAAACACAAACAGCATATGTTGGGCGCAGCAAAAAATGCAAACTTATTATGGCGAGTATTGCTCAACATGGTTCATGGACTGTTGGTACAGGAAACCATAAAGGACTTGATACTTGGGGATAGCTTGGAGATATATAAACACCAACAAAAACCAATTGATGAAAAGTCCGCCATGTTTTAGTCTTTTCTATTTGTATTATTGTATCTTCCTCGGGGAATTCAACAGTGACACATATTACTGTATGCCAAAAAACCGAAGCAGTTGTCAAACGGATTCCATAAAGGCCCTATTGGCTGAAGAAATAGGTATACAGATAATATAAATGTGTTGAATCGCGGCGGTGAATTCCACCTCAGTTCAAACCCTAAGTCCAGCATTTATATCATTTATTCATCTTAGAATAGTAGACAAAAAGCAGTCAAAAGTGAATTTCAGCCAAATAGATCACTTTTCGCGGATCGAGTTCGATGGTTTTAGCCGCTAAGGCTTACAACCACAACCTGGACACATCTCCGGAGCATTACCCAAACATTGTGTCAACTCGCCCCTGTGCCGCACTATGACTGTCGTATTCCCATGTTGAGTTGGGTTGACAGGAAGCCAAGAGTGGTGCGATTGGGGATTTTTTTTGGGGCACATCAAACATTCCCCAAAAATCACCAAGAATCCACAGGGAAATGGTGAAATGGTGACCCAGAACAAAAAAAAAGTGGTATCGACCCTGCAGTCTTAGGTACTTATGCAGACCGCCTGGAAACTTTGGCCAACGTGCGGGAAGCCGGCATCAGTGTGTCTGGGCTTGACATGTTTAATTTGGGATCGTTTTCGAAGACATCGGGAGGGTTATTCGGTTATTCCAATTTGGGATAAGTTGGGAACCCTAAAATTCACCATTGGCTCTTATATGGGCACTGGTTGGTACTTGTGATAGCCCCGTACAATTGGGTCCATCATCGCATGAACCTTCTGAGTAACTAGATAAGTAACTCAACGGCCCAGTTAAGTGAAGTTTGTGCTGCTTTAAGTTGGAATATATTATATTTGTGTGTATCCAATTTTAGGAACCTCCCCAATCTTGAATCACATCAAGATCAACGACCCCTGAGAACAAAATAACTTGACATGGAACTTTCTTCTTTCTTCACTTGTTAACCTGACATGCGCAAAGCCAATTTTTTGAGACCAAAAGAATCTTCAGTTCTTCAACTGATATAATTATGCCCAAGTGGTAACGGACCCACATTTCTGGTGGTGACTGGGAACAGTTTCAGGTGTGCTGCGGAGGCATCCTTGGAATTGCTGAGACTGAAGAGGATCGCAACTTCTCCGGAGTGATGTCAACGGGAGCAAAGGAGCTATGGATGTCCGATGGTATGCATATTCCCCGCTCAGTTGGGACCCAAGGACCAAGACTTTCCTAACCGCACGATAGTTTCATTATGAAGACTTGGGCTGGGACAGCACTGTCATAAGAATTTAGTCAGTTGTCACTTTTTGAGGGTATCCCCCAAATTCATCGACCTGGGGCAGGGCCTGGGGTCATGAAATTTTTGGGTTGGCAAAACCCCGACCCCGCCCCAGTTCTAAGATGATTAGGATATGATAGGATATCTATGGATATGTTACCATTGGTAAGTCAAGAAATGTAGAAAAAGTAGATGAACACCAGTAATTATAAAAGTAAATCCATATATGTCCAGAGCCCTCAAAGTGGCTCTAATTAAGTTCATAAATTTGAAACCCCTAAGTGACGTTAATTGGATGGTACTTAGCAATACTTGTGAATGATGGCATAGAAACACATCAGAATAATATAGGGTTCATCACGTCAAGCAATCAAACCATATCCCTTGGGGGTACAACCCCAATCTCACCCCAGTATACCCTGGGATGATCAGTTGTGTTTGCATATGCTTTTTGCGAAATCACATGAGGTGGTCAAAATCGATACGTTTTGACATGCGGTAACACCCCAGAAAGTCCAATGACACGTTTCTAAGTACCCAGCAATAGGTATCATTTTAGAGGGGTCAGCGACACGGATGATCCCGTGTCGGGGATAACTCAACCCAGCAATGAGCAATATATATTTTTGGTGACGCTAAGCAAGGTGACCAAGGCTAACAGGCCACTGATGGTGGGTACTTAGAGGCTGCTGGTATGTGCATATATATATATGATTATATATGTATGTGTATTTATATATACATATATGTATGTATTTGTTCTACACACATATACTCACACACATATATATATATATATATTTATATACACATAATATAGATGTAAGGAAGTTCCAAAGGTCCATTTCTTGTGGTGCAGCTGTCAAGGTATTGGGCTGCTGCAGACCCTCGCCACGTTGCCGGAGCATCCCGAATCGGTGCCCATCAATGCGCTTGTGCCCATTGAAGGAACACCCTTGGGAGACAGGCGAAGCCGCAGATCTCATGCCATGGTTGGGATTTATAGTGATTTAATGGGATTTTATAGTGATTCAATGGGATTTTATAGTGATTCAATAGGGATATTAATGGAACTTACATACATAATTAGCTATTGAAAATGGCCATTTATAGTGGATTTACCCAATGAAAATGGTGTTTTTTCCATAGCTATGTTAGTTTACCAGAGGGTAAGCCCTTAGCTGTTTAATTGTGAGGTATCGCGGTTCAGTATCAGATGAAATGACTATTGGGGAAGTACCACCCGATTTTTTCACTGTGGTTTATTCATCCGGTGTTGACAGTATATGTCAATTGTCAGGACTCCTTACAGTGATGATGGGATGACCATACCTATATATATCATGTTTTGACCATGGGACATGAGTGATATTTGCGGATCGAAGTAGGGGTCTGGAAAATGATGAAAAATATGGGAAGAGTGTTGGAATGGGCGGTTCCATCATTTGGGGTCCCTTTGCTGCAAATTCTATGGATATTATAAGTATCTTAGGACAATTTTTTATATGTGGTTGTGTCTGAAAATTGGGTGTATTCTCAAAAAACACTTGTCATAAGGACAATTTATTATTAACTAGTGGATTTCAGGGTACCTGATTTTCAGGCAAAGTCATATTTTAGGAGGATAGAACCTAGGGGCCAAACCCGGCTATACGCCCCTGAGAAATGGGATAGAACATGATATATATATATATATATAACTTATAACCTAGAGGACTTATTAACCAGGATCATTAAGCACTTGCTAAGTGGGGATCCTCCAAGTAGGGGGCAGGTTGTCCCAGCCAGGCAGATTGCCATGGGCAAAGGCGTGACCTGGCGCGACATGGTGCGCTCCATTGCAACGGCACGGATCGTGACGTGTCACAACGACCGGGGCCCGGGGAACGGGTGGTTTTTCCTGGGTCAGACGGAGTCTGAAAGTCAGTTCTCACAGAAAAATCTGATCTAAAATCCGTCGAAAAAGAATGAACAACAGTACTCAGAGTCCAACCAGACTTTAACTTCTTTATCAACTTCAATTATATCTCCATCGCGTATAGGCAGAGGCAGCAATTGAAACGCGTATATAAATTTAAAGGCAACCATGTGCAACTTCACCCCCAAAAGTTGGGACCCCAGTCACCGCTGGGGCCGAGTCGGGTGAACCCGTCAGGTGATGCCCCATTCGATGGTGAGACTTTCGGCTGGACGCATGGAGTTTTCACAGGAGGTTCGTCGCGAACGGAGTGTCTCCTGAAACAACATCCCATTGAAGGTATTGAAGTGTAACATCTTTATGGCATTTCATGGTATAAAAAACAGTAGCATAAAGAAAACAGTAGCATATCTATGGCACATCTTTATGGCATATTGAAGTGTAGCATTTTTATGGTATAAACAAGGGTGCTACTGTTTTCTTATGCTTTTTTTCATCTATGTGGCACAGCTATATTATGTCTGATGACATCTCGTGAATTCTCAGGATCCAGTTCCAGTATGTTCCAGTCACTCGTCATCAAGATGAAATGGGATAGATCTAACAAAACAACCCACTGGGATGCGCATCTAAGTTCGTAAGTCGTACATGGTGAATAACATTCGATAACCAAACGATGACCCAGTTAATGTGGTAAACCCAATTACAAACCCAATAGTAAACCCAATGCTATGATAGCTATGGGATCTGGTTGGTGGTTTGGAACATGTTTATTTATTCCATATATATATATATATATATATTGGGAATAATAATCCCAACTGACTAATATGTTTCCAGAGGGGTAGGTCAACCACCAACCAGGGATATATTGACATAACATATACATGATCTTAACGGTCAAGAACTGTTACTTACAGTAATGACATGTAATAACATGTAATAACTCATAACCATCTTATAACCCAGTGAATGAGGACATACCCTACTCATAGGATCCATGGTGCTGCTATATATGGTAACATGGATCCCATCAATATACCCCCTTTATGTTAGCATTAATATACCAGCACCATGGATCCTATGGGCTATAGAGGGTGTTTTTTTTTAAACAAAAAAAACGTGACTTTAACGGCCCGCCCGGCTCGTAGGCGCAGGCGATGATGTTCCTCTGTGGCGCCAACTCCATCTTCACCGGTGACAAGCTGCTGACCACGGCCAACCCCAAGTTCTCCGAGGTCGAAATGGTCAGTCGAAATCCATCCGATATCGCTGGAGATATCCCTGGCAATGACTAACAGATATGATATAGCTACTGAAAATGGCCCAGTTAGTTAGTTAGTTAGTTAGTTAGTTTGTTTGTTTGTTTTTTTTGATTTACCCAGATATAATTGGTGATGTTCCATAGCTATGTTAGTTTACCAGAGGCTATCTAAAGTGACCAAAATTCTTGATGTTTTGAGGTTCCAACATGTTTCGACATGTAATACTTGATCCTCCATTCATGTTCCATCTTTTTCTCGCCGTCTTCCAATCTATTCCAGCTGTAGGGTGTTCATCTCGCGATCTTTCGAGCAAGCGCTCAGGATGCAGCGATGTTTGAGGTCCTGGGGCTCAAGGGTCACTTGCCAAAGTGCGTCCTTCATGTCCCTTTTGCTCAGGGGGCCCAAGATTATGGATAATTAATGATAATTAATAATTATAGTAAGAGATAGTAATCATAGTGAACTCACAATTAGATGACTGTAAATGATGGTTGGATATGTTTGGAGTAGTGGAAGATTCCCAAAATGACCTTAGGTTCATCCAAGTCAACTTATCGAATCGTTGAGGCACTCAGGTTGATTCATGTTCATCGCAAATTGATTACCCCAAATGGTAAACTAACAAAAAACTATGGAAAGATCCACCATTTTTCATGGGAAAATCCACGAACTAAATGGTGATTTTCCATAATATAGTTATGTTAGTTTACCAGAGGGTACCCTAAATGGTATTGACTAACAGTTTGCGAACTTGAAAATGACCCAATCGAAATAGTGGATTTACTCATTGAAAATGGTGGATCTTTGCATAGTTTTTTGGGACTGTTTACCAGAGGGTACCGGGTTCTTCGTTTGCTCATGGGATAGCCCAAAACTTCGGTTAGTCCCGGCGATCATTGGTGCTGGTTGTCCCTGGCATATTTGCTGTTTTTTTTTCCCCAAGGATTCACCATCAAAGCATCCATCATTGTCATCATTGTCTATTGGATCATGGAGGATGATAGGACCCATAGATCCACAGAAATTCCACCGTTCAGAAGAATGCAATGATGTTCTTCATATATGTTTTTTACACAGTCGATGACTTAACGAATTAGTCACCTCAATGGACATTGTTGGATATTATGCACCATATTGATCCATATTGTGTTGTTTTTTGCTCGAACGATGTTTTGTATATACAGTGGCTTGTTTTTCCCCAAAATAACCATCATTGTTAAATCATACCCATCCATTATAATCCATTATAATCCATTATAAAATCCATGATTTTTTTCACAACATTGCTAAAAACCTCAAATCACCACAGCTCAACTCACCATAATCACCATAAAATGTATGGATTGATATGAATTTAGAGAAAATTGGCAAGGAAACCCCTACATTTGATGGCAAAAAAAAATCCTGTAGCCTAAGCCCAATGCAATGAATCATGTTTTGTTTAAAAAGAAAACGTAAGGGCTTGATTATATAATTACCCTCTGGTAATTTAACATAGACATGGAAAATGGTCCATTTATAGAAAGATTACCTATTAAAAATGTTGATTTTCCATGGCTATGTTAGTCATAACCAGATGGTAATCCCCCTAAAAATCGCCATTAATCACGTCGTGTTTCAATTGACCCTTCAGACCGACCGAGGCAAGAAACCCTTCAGCGGCAACACGGCACACCTGCGCCCCGCCGAGCTCAAGGACGAGGACTTGGCGCAGCCGGCGGATGCAGCGATGATGGCCGCAGCGCGTGCGCGCGGTGAAGGGCCACGGGAGGTGGCCTTTTAAGGTGGAGCCGCTGGAGTTTTTCAGAGGGAAAGTAGGGTAAACATAGAAAAAACAGGGGGGAAAAACATGGTATTTTCCAGGAAATCCCGATGTTTGGGGGTATTTCTTGTGTTTATTACATGATGACTCCCAAGCTCACAATATTCGGGGTCGGACATGCCTTGACAGTGGTCGCTAAACCTATGTATACATGTTTTTTTTCTTTGTGGCGGTGTCAGACAGAGGTGTTTATATAGATCAGTTGTGGTTATATGATGATATATGTATTTTATATATATATATATATGTAGTATATATATTATATACTATATATTATTATTATATAAAAGTAAGTATTGTTTTTTTAACCAGCTGAACACGTGCAATTCTCTAAACATTCTTCAGTTCCAGGAGGTTTAGCTGAGTTGCGGAGAGCTTGATTGCTGGGCTGGTGACGTGCTGGATGTGAGTGGGCCATTGCAGGGCCTGTGACACGTCAGTCAAAGAGCTGACCGGAAATAGAAATAAATATGATCATGTTGACTATGCGCATGATTCTCTGAAGAAGGATCCATAGCAACACTACAAAGATCCATGGTATAATTCGCCAAACGTGGTGAATCTGGCGAACTTCAACAAATTACCATGACTGGGATGCCTGAACTATAGCCTCGTGCTCTCCAAGGTACTGTATATTTTTTGCTTTAGTTTGTTTACAGGACACGCAGGATCGTGTGGGTGGCCTGCCCATCCGAAGTTTGCTCAACAGAGCTACGCTGTTGAGCATGGTGCTGTTTGTATTGAACGAATGAAACTGTTACTAACTTTGTCCAACTTCAAGAAAAAGGGGGAACCAGTCGCTGTCAGTCAATACATTGCGGTAATTTGGCACAGCGGTGATTTTCCATAGCTACTATCATAGATATATATATATATCTATCTATATAGCGTTTTGAGGTTCAACATGATTCAACTTCAATTTTCAGTGTTCCACCAGAACTGAGCTGGGCAGCTTCGGATCATATGATTTTTGAATAAAAAACGGCCGACTGGCCGGTCACGCCGTGGGTGCCTTCGCACAGCGCGGCACGTTGCCTTAGAGTTGAGGACGCCAAAACGCGCCTTTCATCTTGTCAGTTCCACTATGTTCCAGTGGGCAGTCGGGAAGTATCATGTTTGGACAGAGCTCTTTTCGGACCGATGGTTGGAAAATGTTGGAAATGTGTTGATAGCTTGCCATATCTTTGGTTTGTCCGAAGTTTGGGCTCAGTTTTCATTCCACGAGTCTAGCCCCTGCGGATGTGGCGGGCTTTGGTTTTTTCTCTGCTTACAGTGCTTTCCATATGCTTAGCGGATGACTGCGAGGAATGGCAGCATGGTGCAAGTTTCCTTCAGAGTGGGCAGTATCTCCAGTCGCACAGCTCGGCCTCCGGCTTGAAACGAGGCTTCTTGGGAAATCCGCACGAGTGGTGGGTACCAGCTGCCTGCGTGCTGGCGCCATTCATGTGCTTGGAACCCTTCGATTGTCTCAACAACACGGGTCAGCTGAAAAGCCGCCAAGAAAATGAAGCACAAATGGCAGGTCCAAATGGTGTCAATGTTGCTTCTTGGTGCTATTCTGACCCATCCTACTACAACACTGCGGTCTTGCAGTGTTTGGTGAAGAAAGATCTGCTGGCTTATGCACAAACCATGTTTGAATACAGTGTCGCAAGGCACCCCTTGGATGAAACCGATGCGACCTATTGTTCTTGGCTTGTAGTTTCACACTTTTTCTTGCTCTCACCACGAATGGGAGGATGATCCCCATCGATTTCTCTGTCCGATTTAACCGATCACCCCAAAGGTCAAGCCCTCAATAATAGGGGGTTTGACATGGAGCACGGGCTTCTTACGCACCAACAACCCCTAAAAAGGGCTTCTGAACCAGCTATCATCAGGGGGTCTTCTTTCGGGGGGTGGGTAAATCCCCTTCAGATCCTGTGTTTGATGAGGGCCCAGCAGCAAGGTGCCTACATGGGCTTTTGCCACAATGACCAGGTCACTTTGAACACCACCTTGGACGAGGCCCAAGTCATGTGCGACGAGCTCTTTCCAGTTCCCAACGGCTGGCGTAGTGCAGGCGCCCCCCCGTTACCCGGCAAGGAGTTCACTGCGGCAGACGCCAAGAACTACGCCATGGCAGCCTGTGCCATGGGGAATTACCAGTGTGATGTGATCTACTGCCGTGAGACCTACTGTAAGAAAGAACAGTACCAGCATATTTTTGAAGAGGTGGCTTCGAAGTGAAGTGGAAAACGGTGGCCGGGGCAGAAACTCTTCCGGGAACATGGCACCTCAATCATGGCTCCAAAATTTGGATAGAAAAAATAACCATTTGCGATTCCAGGATCCCATGACCAGGGGGTTCCATATCATATCGAATTGTGTTCCTAACTTTTACTGTGTTGTCACTGTCTTGGATAGAAATCGAAGGTTGGGGGTCGGAATCGTGGGCGTGATTTTGCTGTGAGAGAGTGAACCAAGAAGGAATGACGATAGTTCTTGCTTATGGATTAAGGTATACGGTATAATACACATATAGTCACATATAGATATGATATATATATATATAATATATATATAATATATATATACATATATATATATAGATTATAGATATATGTATATGTATATATATACATATACATATGCCTAGAAACTCCTTTGGCAAAAGAAACTGCAGGAGGCCAAATGTTGTTGAAATTACGCTGGGGAAACATCAGAAGGCACCTTTTACCAAGCAAAGTCGCTTTTTCCTAAAAGGCAAAACTCATAGGGCATCTGGAGTCTCCAATCCTTGATTTGATGGGTGGTGGCTATGCGGCTAGGTGAAGCACTGAGATTTTTTCAGGGTTTAGGGGTAGAAAAAACTTTGGGGTCATTGAATAGCCCAACTTGCTACTAAGTATGCTTCAATGATTAACCACTTAGATTTTTCATAAGGAAAGGGCTAGGTTATTTGGGGTAATCATTGAATAGCCCAGGAACCCAGGCAAAAGTTGCGCCCAGGTAACCCGACACCACCTAATGTCAAGTTCGTATTAATAAACCCCTCCCCCCAGAAGGTTTAGCTCCATGAGAAGGTTGTCCCCCCCAAATAGTGACAAGTTAAAAAAAATAAACATGCGATTCATGAGATTTAAGAATTCAATTGAAATCAATTTACTTTCAACTGATTTTCCTTTTAAATCTAAAGGAAACGCCAGGGTTCCAATTCAAATCAAATTACTTTCAATTGATCTTTTTTAAATCCACAGGATAAGCAAGGATTTCAATTGACACCAATTTACTTTCAATTGATGTTCCTTCAAATTAAAAGGATAAGCGAGGCTTTGAAATCAATTTATGGCCAAGGGGGCCGAGGGTGTTTTTAATTGGGGTGCACATGCACCTAATGCAGCTAATGCACCTAATGGGGTGCCCTCTGCGAGCTTCTCAATCAAACATTTTGTTTTTTTTCCTAGATTTTGGGGATTCTGTGCTTTTATATATATTTATATACATATATACATATATATGTGTGTGTAATATGTTTATATATATATATATATACTGTATAAATGTATTGACATAACTTGCCATAACTATAAATTGCATCTCCTCCGAGCTGACTCTGCGCCATACATCATGACATCCCCTCTCCAGAACCATTTGGCAGCACCAGAAGTTCTATCAGGTCAGAAACATAAGAACCACCCATTGGTAAACGGTAAACTATACAAAAAGCTATTGAAAATTGGGTTTTATAGTGATTCAATGGGATATGGGATTTACCCTTGGTAATGACTAACATAGCTATTGATGCCATGGCCCATAGAAATGGTGGATTTACCGATTGATAGCATGGTGGATCTTTCCATAGCTATGTAAACGTTTACCAGAGGGCAAATCATGTTCTCACCACGAAATTGATTTTCCAGAAGGATGTTTTTTTCAACAGGAGCTGGCCACCCATGTTGATGAATAGCGGGAGACCAACCCAAAGTAGTATTCCCAAACCTTTTTTGACAGTGGGTGTTGGTTAAAAGCACGTACAGTAGGAAGGAAAAAACAACTTGTTGTATTACAACTCAAGCCGCGAGGTTCGATCAATGATAAGTTGTAATACAACAAGTTGTAATACAACAAGTTCATAGGGTTTTGGAAGACAGGCAAATCTTTGATCTGTGGTGAAATTGCCGAACAATTTCGGGGGCCGGCTAAAGCAACAGCATTGCCTAAGGGGTAAATGGGTATCGCACTAGCGCTTGGTATTTAAGCACGCTGGGTGTGGTGTGTTTGACATTGGGAAATCCAAGAAAGCAGCGTTGCGCAACTGAAATATATCGGGGTAGGCAATCCCCGTAAGAGCTGCCCATTTGGCAATCTTGTTTCTCCAGAACCATATTCATGCAAGATGCTGGGATGAGTGGAGTAGGCTGCAGAAGGCCCCTCAATTTTGCTATCTTAGGTCTTACACCCTCACTAACCTTCCCAAAAACCAAGGTCTTGCTACAATTGATTAGAGTAATCCCTTCAACCTAGAATATTAATAACCCCATAATTGGTCCCAGATATGTGGTTTCATCATCCCGTATTAAACCATGCTGTCAGGCAGGGTCTTTCATATGAACGGGGCTGCAGCCATCAGCCTATGAGACATGTGGTGTTTGGAAGGCACCCAGAAAAGGTTTTATCAACCGCCGAAAAGATAATAAAGTAAAATCCTGCTTAAATAGGGGATATATTAATTTTCTATGTTTTTTGGGATTGCCATACTTGTCTTGAAATCGTTCAACGAAGTTGGAAAGGGACAAACCACCAGCAAATGCACTGCATGGTTGCTTTCTCCAGCTCTAAATGTCCATTCGGATCTCATATGATCCCATGGACTAAAGCCACGCACGTAGATGTTTATGCTTTCTGTCTTGAAGTTTGGTAAAATTATCATTTATATTCATTTATATCATTTAAATCATTTATATCCATATATTCGTCCCACTAAGACTATCTAAGACTGTCAAGCCAGCAAGATTTGCATCCCATCAATTTTGCTCATGGCTTGTTGCCTTTGCTACTCTGCGCCATGAGAAACTTCACTCCGCGCTGTGTGCTGCGGAGATTTGCCCGAGTCGCCACTCGTTCAGTGGCCACTGGAAATGAGACCTGGCCGGCGTGGTAAAACTGGTCATGGTTGGTACTGTTGGTAAAGCATTAACAGTAAACCACCCCCAAATTTCACCAGAAATAGGTGGTATAATCGGAATTTGGATGTATGACATTGCTCTACATAGTAAGTTGTCCAAGTTAGAGTTCAAGTTGTCCCTGGGAGTTGAAATTGCCTGAAACCGGTGTTGCTTGGTACTCAAACCCATAAAACCAGAGTCAGGTGCAGAAGTCGGTGCAGGAAAGTCATGGACAGTCGCTCCATGTTGCGTTTGGGTGGGGCATGGTGGGGCGTATGTCATCAGCAGTTACAAATTATCGCCTTTTCTAGCGTAATTGCATATTTCCTACATGTCGGATATGGCCTTTTATCGTGTTTTATTATCCTATAGTTGAGAAATTGTAGATGCCAGATGCTGCTGGGTTTAGCTTGTGAGTGTGTTCTCCGGCAGTACGGCTCTAACTCTAAATGATCCTCTTGAAACTGCTGGCGGGTTCCTGCTGCCAGCTTGCTGCTAACGTTGCGTTTCCCATAGGATTTGTACCTCAAAGTAGCTTTCTTCAACCTTCAAGAATGTTGCTTTTTTCTGTGGAACTTGGCTTCCCAATGGGGAAATCACATCCCAACAAACTTCGAATCGTGAAATGGGTCAAGCGTGTTGCGTTTAGGGGGCTCAATGTCGGGATGGGTTAAAGCCCATGATGCCGCATGGGGCAGGAGCATTCATAGCAACCCATATCAACCGATCAGCAATTTTGATATTCACCACGCTACAAAGGGTTTTGAGCCACAAAAAAAAAATCCGACTTTCGGTGCTTTGCTGCCAGTTTTTTCTCCGAAGGTTCTATAAATGTTGATGGATGATACCCCTATGCTTGATCAATTTTAATCAATCTCCCTATATTTGATTGCTTACCATCCAACCAATGAATATTTATGACTGCATAGACTTACAGTATATAATATAGGGACCCCAACTAATCACGCACACGTATAGTTGGAACGTAGTCTTCCTCATCCAAACTCATGAAAAGGGGGTTGGTTGGTTCGGGGGGAGAGCAATGCCCCAATCATCCAGGAATTTTTGATCTACGGTGCCAACACCGACGTTGGCAAAACCGTGGTGAGCGCCGCCCTGTGCCACTTTGCGGCCACTCTGGGGCGCCCCGTGACCTATGTGAAGCCAGTGCAAACGGGGGAAGATACCGATGCGGCGGCTTTGAAGCGACACGTGCCGGAAGGGCAGTTGAAGACGGAGACTAGGCCCAACAAAAATGCTTTCTGGCTAGGCCCAAATCAAACCCATTGATTATGGATGATTATGGATGCGGCATAATTTTCTATATAATTATGAGCCCATTCGACAATATATGCTATGCATTGCTATGCACCTGCATAATTACGTAGATTCACACACATGCATGCATGCATGCATGACATTACGTTACGTTACGTTACATTTCATTATATAACACTGCATGACATTCTACATCAACACGCATACACAAATTTAATACATTCAATATGTAAACCATATATATATATATATATGTACACATTAATATCGGTTTAGCTACATTTTATTGAATGTAGATAAGCCAATATGATAGATGTATATGTAAATATGCATATGCATTTACACACATATATATATATATAAATATATATATATATAAATATATATATATATATATAAATATATATATAAATATATATATATATAAATATATATATATATATATATTTATTTACATTTAAATATGCATTATATATATATGTACGTATGTAAGGTAATGTATGTATGTAATGTAGTGTAATGTAATCTAATGTAATGTAATGTCATGTCATGTTATGTCATGTAATGTTATGTTATGTATGTAGGTATGTATGTATATAAACATAAATAAATTTAATATAGACCAACTGGGGGCCCACAAGTGGTCGCCGAGGTGACCTTGTTCCACTATCCATCGCCGGAGTCGCCGGCCAGTGCTGCGGAGAAGGCCTGCGGGCACTGCATGGCACTGCGGATAGGGGAGAGTAATGGTTGGTAATTTGGCTGGTTGGTTGGTGGTTAATGATGGTTAATACATGGGTGATGAAACCATGGTCAATGATGGTTGATGATGGTTAATGATGGTTAATGGTTAGTAGTGGTTAATTATCTGGCTGGTGGTTCGGAACCTTTTTTTATTTTCCCCAATAGTTGGGATGATGATCCAATCTGACTTTCATATTTTTCAAGGGGGTTGAAACCACCAATTAGTAATGTTTGTAATGGTAAACCAGTGGTAAATACCATGGTTAGTAAGCAATGGTTAGTAGTACATTGATTACTATCCATTATTGGTATTTGAGTACATTGTAAATAATGGTTAGTAAGTAATGGTTAGTGGTAATTGTAAATAATGGTTAATTGATGATTAATTATTGGTTTATCATGGTGAATAATGATTATAAGTTATAAATGGTATCAGTAATTGTATTAGGTAAACGGTAATAGTAATGGTTAGTATATAATGCTGTGTAATGGTTAGTAATGATTAGTAATGGTGTTTGGGTAAATTCGAGTGACCTCACACCGTGACCGCATAGGGGAATCATCCCCAAATGGCCTGAATTTATTCAGGGTAGTGAAATTTTCTAATAGTTGACCCAGCTGGTTATTACTGACCAAAGGTTAGTAAATCCCTTAAATTAACGTTAGTAATTGTTAGTAACGGTTATAATAACTGCATGGTTAGTTATGGTTGTATGTACTACTAACGGCATGTATGGTGACTTAATAGTGATGGTTAGTAAGAATTTTAATTAACCATCAATATTGAGTCACCATAAATATTCTCATTAACCATCAATATTAAGTCACCAGTATGATAGACTATGGAAACTCCATGTGGTTAGTAACCATAGTCTATCATGTAGTCAATTGGACACTATATGGGAGAACCCCGCGAATCGGGGACTCACGAAGGTCATGAAGCATGTATCCTTGAAGTATCAATAGGGAAGCCAACACCTCAAAAGCACTTACATGCTTAGGTTGATAGATGTCAATATACTTTGAATAAGCATTCATAATTATGAAAATATCATATGGTAATATGATTGAATCATATGATATTATTTTTGGGAATGGAAATTACCTTATGTAATATTCCCATTATTATTACACATATTAATAATTATGTTCATCATGGGAATGGAAATTTCTCCTCCATCACTATGGAGTTTCCCAGAATGGTGTCCTCAAAACATGGCTGGCGGGAAATCCATGAAATCAATGGAGGCTTCGTGAAATCAATCCATAGCGATGTGAATTACTGGGCATAGAAAAGTTGAATCCATTTTCCAAGTTGTACTTGAGCAGAATTGAACCTTTTGTATCTTTTGGGGGGTTGCTGCTACAATGTGGTTAGCCTCCTTTTTTGGGACATTGAACGCCCATTAAATTCAGGGTATTTGGGGGTATTGCTTATGATATTCTATGCCTGCATAGCTGGTCGACAGGATGGAGAACCTAATGGGTTAGTGTGTAGTTATTAGCCAACTCTCACATCATCATCATCATCATCATCATCATCATCCTCATCACCAAACATCATCAAACATCATCAAACATCATCAAACAACAAACATCACACATCAAACATCAAACATCAAACAGCATCATCATCATCATCATCATCATCATCAACAACATCAACCATCATCATCATCATCATCATCATCATCATCATCATTATTGTCATCGTCATCGTCATCGTCACCATCATCACCATCATCACCATCATCACCATCATCATCATCATCATCACACATCATCATCAAACATCATCATCCTTAGCTGTGGAAACATGTGGTGCCAGTTTCATGGCAGGCTGGAATGAAACCTCCAGAGGATACGGAGTTCCGCGCTGCAGTGGTGCAAACTTTGGCGCGGGCGCGCCAGGACTCTACGGAGGGAATATCTGTGGTTGAAACCGCCGGAGGGCCTTTGAGAACCTTGGATAGAAACAGAGGCGACATGGCGACCACCCATTTGGATCATTTGAAATCAGTAGGTGTTTATATTATGTATATATATAACATATATGCATGTGTGTGTGCTTCATTTTTTTGAACTAAGGGGTTGCTTTCAAGGGGTAACTGGTCGTTCCGGTATGTTTTGGCTGGTGGTTCGTTGACCTAAAGTTGAACTTTTGTGCAGGGATGTGCAGGGAATCATCGCGAAAAAGAATGGCCCATGGGATCCCAAAGCACCACACTTCAATAAGGACCTGGTTTTATTTGTGGTGTGGTTGAGTTGAGGTGAAGGAAAGGATACTGTAAATGCATGTGTATGCCATATGCTGGTTTGGGGTCAAACACTGATGCTTAGCCCCGAAATGGATGGTCAAGTCTGCAAACATGATCAACACATGTAGGTCCTAAGGTCCCAATATGTTAGACCCCAACCCCAGTTTGGAAATTGGCATCGGGCACCCGAGAATCATAGAAATTCTCGACCTACCTCCAAGGCCCTGGTCCAAACCACACCTTCCAAGCTGACATCTACGCGCCCTTGGGGCTCCCCTGTGTGTTGGTGGGTGACCCCAAACTCGGTGGCATTTCATCCACCATTTGCGCCTATGAAGCTCTCAAGGTGGAGCAATGGGGGGTGCAAGGATCGGAAAGCCTCGGTGCATGGGAAAACATATTTTTTTTGGAATCTGAACAGGCATTTGAGTGCATTTGTTTGGAGTGCAAAAATGCAGCTAACTAACCAAGTGTATACTGTATACTTTATTTTTGAACCAGTAACCAGTAACCAACATGCAAGCACAGACATTTTTGTCCAACCTTGTCGAAATTCTACTTGGAGTGAAGGCCACATTTTTTCATCATTTCCCATCCACTTCCCCATGTTTTCCCCAGGCGCGCAACCAGCCACCCCACGTCATCCTCTTCCTAGACCTGGGCGACTTCGCCCACAGCAACGCCGTGGCCGTGCGCCGCGCGCTGCACGGCCACGGTGCCACGGTGCTGGCGCTGCCCGGAGCGCTGCCGCCGCCGCAGGAGCCGCTGACGGCGTGGCTGGCGACCAAGGAGGTGGCGGAAGCCATGAAGGAGGTGATGCCGGAGGAGCAGAGTGTTGACCAACTTTTTTTGGGGGTGGCCCGGGTGGATCCGGGTGGCCCCTGAATCACAGAGGGTTTTGAACGTTTTTTAACACACTCCAGTTAAGTACGATTTAATGTTAGTTATTTAGCTCTATTTTTCTAGGGATGAAAACATTGGGGTTTAGGGATCAGAATTTGGTGATGTGGTTGGCGGGTTCCTGTGGGTTCAATGTGTTTTTTTGGAGGGGGGTTCATCCCATGAACCCGCTGGACTGTCCCGTGGGCCATTTTTGGGTGTGGTTTTGGAAACATTTGGAACGACAATGATGGAGTTTTGATGTTGTGGGACGCATCGAAGGTGGAAACTAAGAAAAAACTTGATGTTTCGGAGTTGGCCTCAAATGATTTTACTATTTAAGTATATTTAAGTAATCTCCCATTTCCTGTAGTAAAAAACCTGTTCCACCTCACTTTCCCAAAAAAGGACAGGACGGTGGAGTCATATCTGACCATCGATCAGCAGCACCTGTGGCATCCCTACACCTCCATGGTGCAGCCTACGCGCGTGTGGCCCGTGCGCTCCGCACAGGGCTGTCGTTTGCATCTGGAAGATGGGAGGCGCCTGGTGGACGGAATGGCCTCCTGGTGGTGCGCCATCCATGGCTACAACGTGCCGGAGCTCAATGCGGCGGCAACCAGACAATTGGCGCAAATGAGCCATGTGACTTGGATGGCTGATATGTCTTGAACATTCTTGAACTAGCTTATGTCAGATTCTGCGTTTACTCTTTTGGAAAGATGGTTGGATGGTGGTAGTTGGGTGAGGGTGGGTGATGGTGGATGGATGCTACATTGGATGTAAGTCTTTTGACCTGGAGAGACACGGATCCTCAGTGGCAAAACTGTTTTTCTTCTGAAATAAAATGAATCATTTTACCTTTGTCCATCGAGATATTAATCTATCCAGCTATACTGGCCATTCGCAGGTTCAGCTATTGTTGATTCTTATTTTCAACTTATATCAACTTATATCAACCTATATCATTTTACATTCCATATATCCCATATTGGATTGACGAATGAATGTGGCACGTCCAACAAAAAATCTTCAATAGAGGTTTATGACATTTTATGACCCAATACCCCGTTCGCAGTGGGATAATGCTTATGACCCATCATTTCAAATGGTTGGTGAAAATGGGATGGTTCATGAAATCGGGTTTGCCACATTAAATATCTCTACATAGATAGTCCTTAAATCTGACATATGCCGCGGTCAAAAGTTGTGGATTGTATACGTATGTTAGGGGGCGGTCACCGATCCATTTATAGAGATGTTTGATGATTTTTCTTTAGCATTAATACATTAAACAATTATATGTATAATTATAAACTATGGAAGTCTATAGTCTTTTTTATGATTTATTTAACAATTGTATGTATAATTTATCCAATAGACTATAGACTTCCCGATAAATTATGCGGGGGGAGACGACCATCTCCCAGCATTTTTGATGGGGATTCCATCCCCAAGTTTGGTTTTTCTCGGTGTTTATGGCATTGGGTATCCTCTGGTAAACGTTTACAAAAAAGTATGGAAAGATCCACCATTGTTAATAAGGGTAACTCCACGAACTGAATGGCTGAATGGCCATGTTCAATAGCTGTAGCTATGTTAGTCATTACCATTTAGGGTATCCCCATATATTCCATTATACTCCCATGATTTTCCTATAAAACCATATGGAAAACCTCCATTTCTAGTGGATATGTCCTACAAAACCCTGTCAAATCTCGGCATTTGAAAAACCCCAGGTGATGTTTGGCGGCCTCACGCACCGTCCCGCCACTCAGCTGGCAGAACTCTTGGTGAAGGCGGCGCCTGAGGGACTCACAAAGGTGCCCCGGGAGACGGAGGATCATCCCACGAAGCGGTTAGGCGGTTAGCTGAGTTAGCTAAAAAAAATGCTAAGATCATGCTAGATCATATCCCATTTTTACATGGCTTAACATGGGTTAACCATGTTATCATGTTAACCCACTTGGGACTTGCTAGGGTTATTGACCAGTTACATGTGATTTCCCTTCCGGTAATCAAACATGGCATTCGAAAATCCTTTATAAATGGGTAGTAGCTGGAAATTTACCCCCAGATGGTGAATAAGCCCTTAGTAAAAGTATTGATCATACCAGTGGTTGTTGGTGGTTTTTTGATGCCCGAAAGACATTCACCGCGGCTCCCGGGTGAACACCAAAATTCTCGTCCCTGGGATTTATGGATTTTCATCTCCCAAAATATGGTCCGTAAAATTCCTGGTTGGAATAAGTTCCCACACGAATCCTGTGCTGGTTGGTCCCCCAATTGCCCAATTCAGGGCTTATCCTCTGCATAATCTGTCGTTATGACTGAGCTATTCAGTGGGATTCTCCAGGGGTGAGATGGGGATCGCAAGGATGTGGCAGCAATGCCATTGAGAGGACAGGCTAGCAGAGGGTAACAGGTTAACCTGTGAAAATTGAGGTCTTGTGAGCAAGGCATCGTAATTTACATGGAAAACGAATGAACAGCTATGGCAGCTATGGCCACACAAGCCCACAAGCCATGACGCCATCCATACCAGGATCAGCCATTTTTGGAACAGTCTTAAGAGAAGGAACGTTTTCATTTCAAAATGAAATGGGACCCATTTGGATAGGATTCAATCATATTCAACATGGTTATATAATCATGGTCAACTCAATATTCGCCAGATTGTCCCATGATGTCCCATGTTTGCCAGTCAGTGTTTTGGGACATATGCTTGAACCCTTTGCATCTTCCAAACACGAAAAGGAAGCGAAACACCAAAAATAAATACTTCGGAACCCTTACAGGTCAGAAGTAGCCACTTTGGACCATAGCAGCCAGGTGTTTCTCTGTGACTCCGGCAGTGTGAGCGTTGAAGTGGCCATAAAGATGTCGTTGCAGTATTGGGCCATGACACTTGGTTTTCAGTTTGTTTTATTAAAGGGGCAACAAGTTGGGGGGATAGCCACCACAATTTGGGTACAGCCTATGTATTTTGGGGGCTGTGGTTTCAATGGTGATGTGTTTTTTCAAAAATGATTATGACATACTATGACATACTATGACCGACTTTGACCGATATTTTGCAAGGGGTAAGTGGGCAGACAAGTTTGCAAGGGGTCACACTAATTTTGCCTGCCAACCCTTGGTTGTGACCCAATCGGCCGGGTAGCGTTGTGAGAGCCATGTCACAAGGCAAGTTGTTTGAGGTGGCTTCCCATGCATATGCCATTGATGGGCAGAGTTCCATCTATAGCTTCAGTATGTTTCAACATGCTTTTGGCTTGGAGGAACATGCCCATATCCCTGACCAAAAATCAGATTTCCATGGATTTCCATGCCCTGCCCAGGAAGGGCCAGCCCTCCAAGACCCGGTTGGCCACCGTGCAGTGTGGCTACCACGGGGATACCTTTGGAGCCATGGCAGTCTGTGATCCCATCCGTGGGATGCACAGCTTGTTCCAAGGCACCTTGGCGAAGCAGCTCTTCGCGGAGCCACCGGTCCTATGTGCTGATGCTCGAAGAGGGGAGGATTGGCGGACATGGAAATACCCAAAATGTACCCTCTGGTTATGTCAAAATAGCTATTGAAAATGACCATTTATAGTGGATTTACCCATTGAAAATTGTGATTTTCCATTGCTATGTTAGTTTATATATAATTTATAACCCATAGGATCCATGGTGCTGCTATATATGGTAACATGAATCCCATCAATATACCCCCTTGATGTTAGCATATATACCATACATGGATCCTATGGGTAATGGACAATCCTTTTAAATTAATGATTAAAAGGGGTTCTCCTATTTTAGATTTTTTAGGAAACCTAGCAACCACAGCGACGTTTTTTTTCTGAAGAAAACATGGTGACTGGAAATTGCTGGCCTATAATTACATGTTTATGCTAGTGGTTTTCTTTCGTGAACTGAGATGCGGAGTTAACTACCAAAAGTTGGGGGGATATATATATATATATATATGGCAGTGTGTCAAAACCTTGTACCCCTGGTGAACATCAAAATAGCTGGTAAATGGATGTTCATCCCCTTAAAAATGGTATTAATAGGTATTGATCCATACCCATATATTATATATATATATGCGCATACAACCTATAACTTCTCCATGGTCAAAAAATGTCCAAAATGTCAAGTGCGGCTGCCGGGATGATCCCTCCATCGACTTCATACTTTTCAGTGGCTTCAGAACCACCAAGTAGCAGAGGTTGGACTAAACCAGGATTTATGGGTCCGGCTTATATTGTTCTGGGAAAATTATAACGACCTCACTGCGACCTCACTGCGACCTCACTGGAATCATGGTTAATAAAGGAAATCATCCCCAAATGGCCTTAATTCAGGTTAGGGAAATATTATAATTTACCCAACCAACATGTACAATTGAGTTTGTCTGAAAATCTGACTTAGTGTACCCCCCATTCCATCGAGTGGTCAGAAATCATGTTCCCAGACTTCGCAATGGAAATGGTGGTATTCCCCATTTCCAGACGCGCCCAAATCATCCGGATTTCTGAGACACACCCAAATCACCAGAAGTTGAAGCAGACGTCATGGAAGCAGTGAAGGTATGCCTTGCCTCAGCCTCTGGTAATTTAAGAGCCCGCTACAGAACATGGTCCCTAGAAATAGTTGATTTACGTTGATTTACAAACTGTTAGTTTACCAGAGGGATCCAGAGGGTACATATCCTTTTCTGAAAACAGTGGGGGTTCAATGTATTGACTAATCATGAATACCATTCATGAATCATATATGTAGCCGTGTGCTCATGAAACAGCTCCAGATAACAACCAAAATCCACCCATGCTAACTAAGTATTATATAGTATTGCCAGTATTGCACTCTGATTTCCGGAGGGTATTTGAAATTTGGGGGAACGGATCTGAATTTCTTTGGGATGTGTGAAAGTTGCCGGATGCTGAGCTAAGGACTGGAGCGGGAAAGCTCCAGAGAACGATGGTTTTTCCAGCATGGAAGACTTGTTGCGCACGCATCACACCTCGCTGGCTGCGGTGATCATTGAACCGGTGGTTCAAGGCATCCAGCATGGCAGGGAAATCCTGAATCAATGGAGCTTTATGCTGGTAATGTGAGATTTTCCCAAGCCGGGCTTGATTACCGGAGGGTATTTACGCATCATGGCTATTTTTGGTAATGTGGGAAGTGAAGGTTGTCAATTTGATGTGGTAATGTGGTATAAGATCTAATGTGGAGCGTTTCTTCAGGTCTGTGAATTGTTACGAGCAGGTATCAAGGGAGGCCAAAGCTAAAAAAGAATAGTTGCACGTGATCCTTTCAGCTACCCTTGGGTAATCTAACATCGAAAATATGGAAATCCAAATTGTCCATCTTATATAAATCATTCGTGAATATGGACTATTCATGACTATTCGCCATGTTTGCTTGTGACATCATACCATGTGCGATCGTTCCTAGACTTACTTGGTCCCCTTGGGTATGCCCTTGAGGTATACCCAACGATTGGAGCCTGGATCACAACCTACAAATACCTGGCTTAAATCCCGGTAGATATATATATATATATTATATTATATTACTGCCCTATAACTATGGTCAATACTAATACTGGTTATGAGAATTGGATGACGGACAAAAAACAACTGGAAACCTCCTTTTATATCTTTTTTTTCGGAGTAGAAAACGTGGCCTTGTTCCCGTGAAATAAATCCCTTAAAACTACTCCATTCGACTATAGGGGTGCGCAACGGGTTGGTTTAACACCCCCCTCAGGTGCTGGTGGCGTGCGCATCTACCATCCGGACTATCTCCGCAAGCTGCGACGGCTCTGTGATGAACTGGATGTGCTGCTGATTTTCGATGAGACCCTGGGCAGACCGGGAGAGTCTGAGACGTCAATGGCTTGGTTTTTACGGAAATGTTACAAGAACCACGGGAAACCATAGAAAACCATGCTTTTTCCTGGATGGTCGAGTATCATTGGTGACACTCGGTTTTAACAGTCATCCCAAAGTGTCTAACCATTTGTGGGTGAAGGTTGAACGACTTTTGACATCAAGAGCCAATAGCCAACCGCAACATACCGTTGACAGCTTGGATTGCCTTTTTCGGGCATATCTTCATGTGCTAAACCGGTATGTAAGCCGCCTAAACCAGCCCAATAAACCAGCCCCAGAATCACTATGAATGGCTTACCCTCTGGTAAGCTAACATAGCTATTGAAAATGGCCATAGAAATAGTGAGTTTTCCCATGAAAAATGGTGATTTTCCATAGTTTTTTGTATGTTTACCAGAGGGTATTTCTCAGAGGGGTTGAAGCCACCAACCAATCATTCACCATTGGGTTGCCCACATTGCCCAACGATTGGATCTTTCGATATCTTTCGGCTCGCAGCTGCACCACCAAGAAATCGAAAAGGCGCGGGCGGAAGCTGTCGCAGTTGGGGGTGGCACAGCAATTTATAAGGCATATATATATATATATGTATGTGTATATATATATATATGTATATATATATATGTATGTGTATATATATATAGATACTGTAGATTGGATATGCAATGGTTGAGAATGACATATTTATATGGTTTGCAATTAGGGAGATCATGGGATTGATACTTGATACTTGGCTGTCAATCAAAATGATGATTTGTATGTATATATATATATATATATGTAAACACACATGTATACACAACGTCAGCTCCGGACTGCTAAAGCATGGTTGCTGAACTACGGGGGTAGCCTCCAAATGATCATCCAGGATATCAGGCTCTTGGCCAATTCCCAAATTTCTCAGCCAGGCACCCCAAAGGCTCGCCCTAGAGAGCGTACCACTTGGCAGAAGTGACGTGAATGTGAAACCCCATGAATTCCCATTGTCCGAGTATTAAACCCAACACCATTGTTTTAGTCTTGTATTCAAGTTGAGAGCCACACAAGGGAATTCAAGTTTCGTGGGATATCGTCGGCCATCAGGCTTCGATTCATCACGTCTCGATGGATCTGTTAGATAGACAACTTACAGTCTTACAGTTTGTTTTCTGATGCAAACCATGGTTCTGCTTGTAATTCTTCCTTTTATTCAATCCGTTGAACTGATTGATTTCCAGGCCATCCACCTCATGTGCGATTGGCTCACTACATTGTATTATATATATATATATGCATTATATTGTTCATGTCCATCATTGCCACCACATGCACCCAAATGCCACCAAAAGTCCGGACTATTCTCAGATAGTATGGTTGGTATGGGATCAGTATCAAAAAATATTATTGCAATCAAGAAAATATATTAGTGCACTCTAAAGAAAATTATTTTTCGATCTCCCTGCCATCTCTTCGTTGTATGGGGCCTCTTGCGGGGATAATAGTTTTTTGATTGCAATAATAGTTTCTTTTTGATAGTTTTGGATTATTTGTTTGATTGGAATAGTAAACTGTATTCTTTTTTGATGCGCTTGCCGGTTGGTATCTTAACTGTTTTGTGTTTTATCCCTCATAAATGGTACCTTTGCGTAGAAAAAAGTCGATAGTGATGCCTGGCACAGGCGGATTCCGAGATGGCCACAGAGGTGGAGCCTAAAAGTCTGAGCCGCTTGGCATTGGGCACCTGCCTATCTTATTAAATCTGGCGATTTTTTGTTTATCCGCAGGTACACTGTATATATATATATTATATGTATATATATATTATATATATATGTGTGTGTGTGCATTTGTTGCTTTAGATTATTTAAAAATAATTGTCTCCGTATGTATTCATTAGTCTATCTGTCGTTTTGTCGGTCTATCACTTGGTGTATGTATTGATTGGAGTTAAACACCGGGCAAACTCATCGGACTTGATGTGCAGAGAGATCAATCTAGTTGAACAGGCTTAAGCAGAAGGATGAAGAAACGATATCGATCCGTTTATCTTCATCTGGTTGGTGGTTTGGAACATTTTTATTTTTTCCATATATTGGGAATAATAATCCCAACTGACTTCACATTTTTTCAGAGGGGTAGGTCAACCACCAACCAGCTAGCAATTGTATATCTATATGAAAACAGCAACCTCCAAAAGGATAGAACAGTGAAATTAATGGTCGAACAATACAAGTATCTTAAGTGGGGGGTTATTTGTTCGACATCATACGACATCATACGACATCAATTCAAGTACACATATTGATGTATATGCAACATATTGATGTATGCATTTACATCGCAGTGTATATATATAGCCATTCCGATATGATTAAGTTGGTTTATTTCGGGTGTGTTGAACCAACAATGTTGTTGCAAAACAAGTATGGAAAATAGCCGTGGGGGCGACCCCCAGGGAATGATCTACTGTATATTATGGTTAAATGCATGTGTGGTATGGTATAGGCCGGCGAACTTCAGTTGTCAAACATATAGTTGTGTTGTTTTCTGCGATAAATGGGAAAAGAAAGCAACCAAGCATTTTGTGGACATGGCATCTCCGATTTGCCAACAGATAATTGCTCCAACATTGTTGAATTTACGGAATGATCCACCATTGTGTCAACATGGGCAGCCTGCTTTTGGACAAACCCATGAAAAGGTAAAAGGATGGCAACCCAAACGCATCCCTTTTTCAGTTGATGGTTTGATTGGTAACCCTACAAGCTCGGGCACCAAACGACAGCTAACTTGGTTTGAAACTTGGCGAGTTCCATAATCAATGGGTTCATAAGCTAACAAATATACCTTGGGGGGCCAACGTTGTACCAAGTACCTAGGACATCTAGGACCATCCAAACCGGCTTAGCCCAATGACTGGGATGTGTTTAACATGACTCAAACTGGGTTTCCACAGGTGAAGAGCCTTCTGTAAAGTCGGAATTGCGCTCAGAACAAAAGGAGGAAACAAAGAAGTCCGCTTCTGACAATGTGCCGGAGGAGTTAGAGGCAAAAAAGAAGGACGGGCTTTCAACCCGTCTATATTGATGCCAAAGTCCCAAATAGACAAATTGAAACCTGGAACTTGGGAAACAGCATCGACAACATTCGACAACATCTTGGATTTGTATGGGTTTGTTCATTTTTGTTTGGAGCGCCCTGTTCCATCCATAGTGTTTTCGGCTCTTTTAAACTTGCAGTGTTGCTGTTATTGCTTTGTGTTTTGCGCGTGTGTGTTTTGCTTTAGAGCCCCTTTTTTATGAAACCAGGACGAAAAGAAAGACGAGGCCAAAGAGATTCCGGCCGTTGTTCAGCATGGAATTGCGCAGTTTTTTCTGTATAGTGCAAAATGGCCACGGATATTATGTTGATGGCAATCCATTGGGATTGGAGGGTGCCCCATACTCCCCCTTTTGAAAACCAAGGGAGACTGGAGATCCTGGATTACGTTTTTTGGGTGCATGTGATCATCCGAACAATGATTTATATCTCCGAATGGGCGGTGGCCGCTACAGATGCTGTGGATTGTTGCTGGTGAAGGCGCCAACAACCTCGACTGCAAAGGAAGAAGAGCACAAAGTGGATCCAAACCTTGATGTCAGCAAGTGGAATGAGGAGGTCACGCGAGTCGTGTGTGCTTTGGCTGCAGCTGCTGGAAAATGCTGGAAGATGCTGGGTGAAAGAGTTTGAGCTGCGGCTCGAAAGTAGCTGTCCCAGTAGCGGCTGCTATTTTAAGGGACTACTATGAAATTGGCAGACATCAAACTAATATAATTATTCTAAAGGCAACATTCCCATATTCAGAAAATCTTCGCATACCATGTTTTCATCGTACTCCAGACCTGGGTTTTGGTATGTTACTTTGATAGGCATTTCAGCTCAATCTGGAGGGAACAGTTGGCCCACGGCGAATCCATTGAATGCCCCTCCACAGCTTTCTATCCCCTATGTCGTTCCAAAGGAGCTGTGGACGTTGAATGAATTGAAGGCTGCTTTGATAAGGAAGTTTCCTCATTTGTCTACAGAAGAAGGACAGGGTTGTCAAAGGTAACGTTTTTAAAGGTTGGCTAAGTAAAAATTAGCAAGTTTCTTCCCCGGGACCTCACCCAAGGTGAACTTGGAAAAATAGAACCCACTGGTGTGCCCCTGGAAGTTTGGGCCGGCTTTGGGATTGGAATTTTGGTTCTGGCCGCGAAATTTCCCTATGTGGTCTCTATACCAGCCACGCATACTCGGAATTCTTCGCATTCCACAAATTCTTCGCACTCCACATGGGACATCGCACTCCACAGCTAGGGACGCGCACATACTATAAAATCCACGCACTCTGCAAGATCTTCGCACTCCATAAAATCTTCGTACTCGGTAATTTTTCGTTTTTTTCGTTTTTTTTTCTTTTTTTTTTTTCGTTTTTTTTTTTTGGCTAAAATCGCCTGGAATCACGTTTTCTGGAATATGGGAAAGGTAGCGGTTTTTCGTGAGACGTCTGTAGTTGCACATACTATCGCATTCCAGGCAATTTTGGCCAAAAAAAAAAAGAAAAAAGAAAAAAAAAGCTCAGCAGGGTGAAATGTGATAATTTTCTGGTATATGATGGAAAAAACTGGTGTTGGATTCATGGGGAAGGTCGAAGGGGGCCACGCATACTGTTTTATTTTCGCATTCCAGAAAATTAGCGCACTCCAGGGGTGGCATCGTACTCTATCGGTGGAATTATTTTGCACGGAAGAAAACAGGATCGTCGATGATTTGTGTTCCCAGATCCTGTTGTGCAGAGCTCTTTGCGGGGCCACAAAGATGTCAAGAAAGATGGGGATGGCGCTGCTGATGAAAGGCCAGCCAAGCGTGCCAGAACATAAGCTTAAAGCTTATGAATTGGGTTTTGGGATCGTGAAAAGTGTAGATGACAAATTTCCATAAGAACATTATTAATCCATTTTTGGAAAGCTCAACATTTTTAATTATGACATTTCCAGAAATTGTTGAAAGTAAGGATCTTCTTTGGGGAAGAACATGTGCAGTCGACAACGTACGTGCCAGAAGAAAAGGAATACTTGGCAAACTGTATGAAATACAAATTTCACCTGAAAGGGGTCTTCGCAATTCCCTGAAATTTCCCAGCTATTTTGGCATGGAATATGTTCGGCCCTGGAATATGGGCAAGAAATTGCTAGAATTATACATATAATTACATGGTTACATGGTCGCTGCTACACATTGAACATCATTGGATTTCGACCGTTAAACAATTTTCTACAACATAGGACCTACTTTTACAACGTTTGGTGTTCTCATGTGGTTTGGTGTTCAAATTCCCCTAGTGTTGGCAGCGGAGCCGCAGGTCTCATTTTGGTAGGTTGTACTGGTCCCCATGGTTGTTGATTAATGTTGGATCCTGATTAGTGTAGCGCCCCCCCCCCTCTCCCAAAACAATTTTTGGGTCCTCTTTAATGTGGATATTTTCAAGTTTTCGATCCTGAATACGGTGTAATCAGTTGATTTCAATTATTTTCAATTGATGTTGAATGGATTTTCAATTTACTTTCAATTGATTTCAATTGATTTCCAATTTGCTTTCAACTGATTTTCAATTCATTTCAATGGATTTCAATTTACTTTCAATTGATTCAATTTATTTTCAATTGATTTTCAATTGAATTCAAGTTACGTTCAATTGATTTTCAATTGATTTCAAAGATCATAGATATAACATGGAAATAGCATAGGAACCACAAAGAAATCCCTTAAACATTTCCAGAGTAATCCCATAGAAATATCATAGAAACATTATGGAAATACCTTGGACGTCCCACAGGAATCCAATAGACATCCCACAGGAATTCAATAGAACCCCCCATAGAAGTATCATAGAACATCATAGAAATACCATAGAAATTCCATAGGAATCCAATAATAATACCATAGAATTCCCCATAGCATCTCTTCAGAAATCCCATAGAAATCCTCCAGAAATATCATAGAAA